GTGATGAGCTTTCCGAATGAGCGGTAGATTAAAAAAAATATTATAACTATTCAAAAGTGCTTAAATTAAGTTTATTTAAATAAATGATTTTTCTATTCTATTCTATTTTTACAAATGATAAAAGGATGGAATGAACAATCGATTATGTACTTTAAAGAGTACATATTCGTCCTGAATATGTCGACAAGAGCCAGTTCCTTAGTGAGTCAAGGTTAACTATTTAGATCTTATCACAGATTAGCGTGATCTGCTCACTCTTGTATGGGCGTGTCAGTATAGCCACTGTGTATTTGGTCTCCTACTGTTCAATTGACTCAATATTAATACTCTATGACATCTTTCTAAAAGCGCATACAATTATAAAATAATATTTTTAAAATTAAATTCAGATTTTTAAGCTAAAATATATAACATATATGTTATTCTGATGTATGAGCTTATTACTGTAAAATTAATTAAAATCCGTTCAGTAGTTTTTGCGTGAAAGAGTAACAAACATCCATTCATACTCACAAACTTGCGTTTACATGTTATACTAGCTAGACCCGCGACTTCCTCCACGTGGAATTTAACTTTATTTTTCTAAGAAAAGAGAATTTTTCTAAACTAAAATAGCCTAAGTTACTCTTTATTACATCAGCTACCTGCCAATAAAAATCTCGTCAAAATCGGTCCAGCCATTTCAGAGATTAGCCGGAACAAACAAACAGACAAACAAAAATTGTAAAAAATGTTATTTTAATACTAAAATAACATTTTTTTAAAATTTTTGACTAAATATACGGTACATATACATATTCTAAGAAAGAGGTATGTAAATGGCTCCGATATACCTAGAACTAATATTGCATATTTATAATCGTGTTTCTACGAAACAGTGTATATATTTTATATGCAAAATAACTATATTTCATTATAAAACACACAAGACCGGACCAGTATCAATTGTAAGATGAATGAATATGTTATTTTATCGGATAATTTGACAAATCACCGCCAACTGGTTAGAGGACAGGTGTGATGTATAACAATGTTATATTTCGAAACACTTGCTGACTTAGACTTCATTAACTGAGATAAATAGAAAGAAAAATATTTATTACCAACCATATACATATAAGCAATCAACTCAAAAATCATTTATTTCATGTAGGATACAGGTTCCCGCACTTTTTTGTGTCGTAGACCCCTTGTCTTATTTTTTGGTTTTGGGTTGACCTTCCATTCTTACCTTATTCTACATAATTTTTTTCTAAATTTCTAACTGTAGTAAAGGTTAGTATTAAAAACGACGGGGGAAGGTGATTGCTAGTAATGTGGACTAATGATCCCATTGCTAGCAATGTACCATGTCAGGTCGACCTCCACGCGGTTCCCCCTGGAAACCATCGTGATAAATTCCCGGTGAATTTGTCACGATGGGCTAACTGATCTGACTTCATGTTCATCCTATCATCCTCCACTGGTGCCCCGCCAGCGTAAACCGTTAGCGCAGGCGGGTGCTCCATTCCATTATCATCCTCTAAAAAAAGACCGCTGTCGTAGACCCCTTGGAGTTTGTAATAGACCCCTGGGGGTCGATATAGACCACTTTGGGAATCACTGATGTAGGACATTTTAGCCGCTTGTGAGCGTAATTTTTCTCTTGTCTCAAGCTAAACAACGCTTGTGTTATGAATACTAAATAACTGTTGGATACATATAAATATTTTATTTGTAAATGTATACATAATATAGAATCTAGATATCCCGTGCAAACAATCATATTCATAAATACAAATTTTGTACTGTTCGAGAATCGAACCCGCGACTCCGCGAACACCGAAGATAACGCGGTGTGCTAAGCAGCTATACCACCGAGGCCGTCAATGTATCCACGAATCTGATCTGTTTCAAACTAGAATTTTAATTTTATTATAGTAAAAATATACAACACTAACTTTTGCCCGCGGCTTCGCTCGCGTTAATTTGTCCCCTTAGGGGTGGAATTTATCAAAATCCTTTCTTAGGGGATGCATACGTCATAGTAGCTTTATGCATGCAAAGTCTCAGCCCGATCGGTTTAAAATTGACAAAGTTTCATACAAACTTTCATCCTCTATTTTATCCCCTTGGGGGTAGAATTAATCAAAATCCTTTCTTAGCGGATGCCTACGTCATAATATCTACCTGCATGCCAAATGTCAGCCCGATTCGTCCAGTGTTTTGGGCTGTGCGTTGATCGCTATGTCAGTCACCTTTGAGTTATATATGTTTAGATTTATTTGAAAAGAATACCAGCTGAGTTACTCGTCAGTTCTTTTCATCACATCATTCCGAACTGACGGTAGATTTGACATATCATAAGAGTCTGTAATAGACCTGCATGAATAAAGATATTTTAAATTTGAATTGGAATATACCACATATAATGACATATCATAAGAGTCTGAAATAGACCTACATGAATAAAGATAAATTGAATTTGAATTAAAAACTTGCCTGCTAAACATTTTATTACACTTAAAACATCTTTTAAAAGCGACGAATGCTTTTAAGGTTTTATCTTTATTTACGTCTAAAACCGGTCGAAGAGTTCTGTATTTATTCGAATTATGCTATATACGAGTATTATCAACTAAATATTCTACATCGTCTTTTGCATCGTAATAAGTTATTTAAAACTCCAGTTTTGGAGTGTTTGTGATTGGAATTTATTTAATTAAAGTGGAGCCGTCTATTCTACGCATGATATAATGATTTAATAATAAACTATGATAATGGTATGGATGGTCGATGGTCCCCGCACTATATAAATTACAATTAAAATCAAATTAAAACTTAATACAAAAATAACAATAAATTTATAATTACATTAATACATACAATAAAAAAAAACAGATAAAAAAAACACCTAAAAGTTAATTGCTATGAATGTCCCGTATGGAATGTTAAAAAATTTGAAATAAACTATGATAATTATAATTCTAAAAGCCATAGTGTCTTTTAGAAAATATATAAATCTTTTATGTAATTTATTTTATACGTATTAGTGTTATATAATTTGTTCAGGTTCCGAACACTGATTACATTTGCTTTAGCAATAGCAGATTGTATTATTGTAAACATGTACAACTTTTATTTGAAAAGAATACGAGTTGAGTTTCTTGTCAGTTGTTCTCATCTCGAAATCATTCCGCACTGACGGTAGATTTGACATATCATAACAGTCTGTAATAGACCTGTCTGTAATACATGTATAAAGACATTTTGAATTTTGAATTTAGAATTTGAATGTATCAGATGAAAGAAATGAAAGAACTTTGTAATTTGGCTAAGTGTAAAAAAAATTACAATGAAACTGTTAATCACATAAGAGTCTGTAAGAGACCTACATGAATAAAGATGTTTTGAATTTAGAATTTCAATGTATCATAATATGAAAGAAATGAAAGAACTTTGTAATTTGGCTAAGTGTTAAAAAAAATTTACAATAAAACTTTTAATCACATAAGAGTCTGTAATAGACCTACATGAATTAAGATGTTTTGAATTTAGAATTTGAATGTATCATAATATGAAAGAAATGAAAGAACTTTGTAATTTAGTTAAGTGTTAATGAAGCGGAGGTATCAAATGTGTCTGATGAGTGAGAGGTGCTGAAGGTTTTAATGAGGAAAATACGGAGATTAAATAAAATGCGACTAGTATGACAGCAATATATAATAGAACGTAACAATAAAGAATATGTCAAAGAATATTATTATAAAATTTAAAAATAGTATAAAAACCTATCGAGGAGTTCGCTACAGTTAAAAAAAATACAATGAAACTAGCATTTTTTTTTTAACTTTAAATAGTATTTGAATCCTTTTATAGTATATCTATAACAACACATATTATTTGCCAAACTAATCCTTAGCATAGTGTTAGATATATCAACTCTATGTACTAGTAAAAGTATGTATTATAATAAAATAACAACTATATAACATTAATTTAACTATGTCTCTAACACAATTCACTTTAGCAATTAAAATACAACCAGCACATCCTGTGCTCAAAGACCGAATGCCACGGCCTTTTTTTTTTCGGACTACTCTAATGCTGTTGGCTGTAGCTGGCCTTTACCGGCTTTACCGGACGTTATGAGGCGAGTGCAGATGGCACTCCAAACTCGCGGAAGGACTTATGGAGCGGCTGAAGGCCAACTCCTGCCCGATGGATACGACTTTAGTCTGAGGGCACCACTAGGGGTTCGAACCTCGGCTCAGGCCGTCGTAATTTCGATTCCCGTTTGAATTGGATGGGGGATATCATGTTATTAATTTTACTATTAAATGAGATCGTTAGTATTATGTGGACTGTTAAACCCATTGCTAGCAATGTACCATATCAGGTTGACCAGCACGGGAAACCGCATGGAAATCATCGTGGTAAAATTCCATTTGCCAAGATGGACTAACTGACCTTGTTATATCAAATTCAAAAATCATTTATTCATGTAGATGTCCTACTGTAGGACTGTAGGACATCTACATGAATAATTGATTTTTTAATTTAAATTTAAATTCAAAAATCATTTATTCATGTAGATATCTTACTGTAGGACATCTACATGAATAAATGATTTTTTAATTTAAATTTAAATTCAAAAATCATTTATTCATGTAGATATCTTACTGTAGGACTGTAGGACATCTACATGAATAAATGATTTTTTATTTTAAATTTGAATTTGCCGCTTATGAACGTCAAATTTTTTTACATTATAATTTTAATTCTTTCAATACCATCCAGTTCAGTATATGGATCCAATTGAGAAGAACTGGCCAGAAACTAAATTTTTTTTTAAATGTTTTATTTTATTTTTTTAATAGCCAGTTTATTTACAATGTATGTATATAAGTGTCTATGTCTAACATGAACCGTTAGCGCAAGCGAGTGTATTTCATTATTATCGATAAATATTTAAAAAAATACACTAAAAGATTATTATAATTGTAATTTAATTGTTTCAGAGTGGTCATGGAGAGCCGAGTGGGCCTGGATTACATCGTGGAGCATGCTGAATACGCTGGTAAATTGGCAGCAGCCCTCACATCGCCTGCTGCACCAGTCAAGAAGCAGGCAAGTGTCCTCCACTGGTTAATGTTCAAATTCAAAAATAATTTTTTCATGTAGGACATTTTAGCCGCTTATGAACGTCAAATTTTTACAACATTTTTTTGTTGGCTTGGCATCTAAGAGATAATCGTCACCTCTATATATACTCTGCTAGCTGTTCCCGCGACTTCGTCCGCGTGGTTATTTAACTTTATTTTTCTAAAAGAAATATAGCCTAAGTTACTCCTTATTACATCAGCTACCTGACAAAAAAAGTCCCGTCAAAATCGCTCCAGCCGTTTCTGAGATTAGCCGGAACAAACAGACAGACAGACAAAAATTGTAAAAAATGTTATTTTCGTGTATGTAGTCTATCTAATTTGAAATGGCTGGACCGATTAGGCTACTTTTAATTTAGAAAAATAAAGTTAAATTCCACGCGGACGAAGTGGCGGGTGCAGCTAGGCTATAATACAATCTCTATGTGTAAACATAATACAATTTGGAAACAACAATTACCCATGGCAGAGGAGAAGATACACAGAGCAACCCTATGTCTGTATGTATATGTGTTAACTGTGCTTTGTTAATAGGTGATTTGTATTCGCAACGTTTCAAATTGGAAATGTAAAATTACAAAGATTATTTAAAAGAGCAACACGCAAGTTTCTTTCTCGTGCTTCTTGTGACACAGCTTTCCGAATGAGCGGTAGATTAAAAGAATGATAACTATGACTATTCAAAAATATATAAATTATTTTCTATTCTATTCTATTGTCCAGGGTTAATATTATTATATATATTCCAGGTGTTCGAGCTGCTGTCTGCATTGTGTGTGTATAATGCAGATGGATACGCGAGAGCTGTAGACACACTTGACCGCTATAAGGTGAGCCCATTATCAAATGAACTCTATGAAAGACGTGGAACTAACTCCTGATCAGCTACGAAATGAAGCGGTTTGCAATTAATGAACTTCAAGACAATTCAAGAGTAGGCATGTATAGTTCCCGAACTAGACCATTACTAGACGAACTCTATCCAGGACGCCGATCTAATTTATAATCATCTACTAAACAATTAGTTTTCCAGTTAATTATGTTTAACACAAACCACAAGAACGTTACTGTAAAGTAGACATGTGTAGTGAACTAATTCAGAATAGCTCTTTTTCAAACGAACTACTTAGCAGATCTTTCTCTCTTTAATTCTTTTGATAAAACTAAAAAAGTCTTAACAAGTAAAATGTCTGGCTAAAGAAAATAAAAACACATATTTGTAGACTTAAAGACTGACCAGTATACTGCAAATATTTGATTCGTATCGCATTGAATAACGAACTAATTCTCAGGAGCATTGCGAACTAAATTGAGTGGTCCCAGTCGCAAACTATTATGATTTATACACATGACTCTTTAACGTAATTTACTATAGAGCATACAATACTAACTAACTACTATAAAAATACTTAAAAAACACTATATAATATTTTCTAGCTATTCTAATGCTGTTGATCACTGACCTTTACATCTTCACCGGATGATAGAGGGCGAGTGCAGACGGCACTCCAAACCCGTGGAACGACTTATAGAACGGCTGAAGGCCAACTCCCGCCTGATAGATACAAGTTTAATCTGAATCTGCACTGATTAAACTTGTATCTAGGGGTTCGAACCCCGGCAGTACACACTTTGTCGTGTAGTAACTTGAACAGGTGCTTTTTACTCTCGTATTCTGATTCTCATTTTCTTATTAGCTCCTTTTTTTAATTTATTACTGTCTTATCATATTTCTGGGCTATAAAATTAGTAGAAAAGTTAACTGTGTAACTGTGAAATAACATAACTGTTAAAAATTAAAAAAACTACTTTCCCATTAACAAAAGGTACATAGCTAAAAATGGTAATGCAGTAGTAAAAGTGTTTTTTATTTTATAATAATATTAAAAACTAATTCATTTACTCTATTTGGCAAAGATGTTTTCTAAAACACATTATACAATTAGAAAACAAAACTGTATCGCATATAAAAACTCCTTAATAGCCATTTATGAATAAAAACTATACGTAACTACCATACGGATGGGTAAACATTACCCTCCTTTTAAGAACGTAGTTGGCTAAAAACAATAAATGTGAAATCGATCCGGATATAATTTGGGCCATAAATTATTGATTCACGCAATTGGATCATTTTGAGTTTGGCCTCTAAAAGGATAAATTAGTGTTGGCGTTACAAATTCAAATTCAAAATATCTTTATTCGTGTAGGTCTATTACAGACTATTAAGATATGTCAAATCTACCGTCAGTTCGGAATGATTTCTTTATAGTATCACAGAGCTATTTTTTTATTAGATTGATAAATTAACCAATATTGAATCTGTATAATAATGTTTAATGATTTTAAAAAAGAAAGGTGATACAGAATCAAAGAAAAAATATTTTATACCTGCGTGCGAGCTGGATAAGCATATACAGAGATTTTAATGGAATGGTGCACCATCCTGCGCTAACGGCATGGCGGGGCACCAGTGGAGGATGATAAGAAAATGAGGTCAGGTCAGTTAGCCCATTGTGACAATTTCAACAGGAACTTATCACGATGGTTTTCAGAGAACCGTGTGTTAGCAATAGGATTATTGACCATAAAACATAGAATTACTGCATTATAGATTAATAGAAGAAGATAAGAACCGACCACAGATAATGGAACAAGTGATAGATATAGTCATCATTATTTTTTTACAGACCTTAAAAAATGAGAGGTACCGTCTAAACGTGGTGGTTGAAGAGTTGAAGAATGCTGCCACCACTGATTACAAGACGGCGCTGGTTGCCTTCATCAACTGCCTCATCATCTCAGCTCCGAGGCTACCTGACAGGATCAGGGTCAGAAACGAATTCATTGGTAAGCATAAATTATTACATAGTCATAAAACAAAGTCGCTGTTACTGTCTGTCCGTCCCTATGTATGCTTAAATCTTTAAAACTACGCAACGGATTTTGAAGCGGATTTGAATTTTATTTAATAGATAGAGTTATTCAAAAGGAAGATTTATATATATAAAACATGTACACCCGTGCGAAGCCGGGGCGAGTAGCTAGTGAATAATTATTGTGTTACCCCGTAGCAAACCAATGATTAAACTAAACGCCTACTGAACTTAAATAGGCAAAACTTTGAAATAATGATAGGGACAATAATGGGCCACTGTTAAACAAACACTTGTACACAATATGTGCTACAGACAGTCCTCTTTGTCGGGGCTGCTCTGAAGCCGAGGAAACGGCCGCCTACATAACCCTGGAGTACCTGTACTGGCTCATCAACTCACACAACTTACATACCCCTGGAGTACCTGTACTGGCTCATCAACTCACACAACTTACATACCCCTGGAGTACCTGTACTGGCTCATCAACTCACACAAATCTTTGGAATGGTGAGGCCTCTCCGTGAAGCCTGTGAAGACACCAGCAGTCTTCTGCGCTTCTGGGAGAAGCTTGCCTAGATCCTTAGCAGGGATGTTATGGATATAAAATTTCGGATACGAATAGATTTCGGATATAGGAATGATTATTATACCGGATACGGATACGGATGCGGATATGAAATTATTTCGGATTATCCGCTAGTTTCGGATAATTTCGGTTACGGATATTATTTTTTTAAAGAATTTCAAAAGTAAAATACAAATAACTAATAAAATGGTTACATAATGTGTCCCAATTAGGCTCCGTCCCTATCCGATATTATCCTTAACTTTTATTTCGGATTCGGTTACGGTTACGGAGCTCCCTAACATCCCTAGTACTTAGTAGTCTCGTCTCTACACGCATAACGGTCCAAATGAGATGCTAAATGCGAGGAAGAGTCCAATATACAATACAATACAATACAATACAATACAATACAATACAATACAATGCAATGCAATGCAATGCAATGCAATGCAATGCAATGCAATGCAATGCAATGCAATGCAATGCAATACAATACAATACAATACAATACAATACAATACAATGCAATACAATACAACACCCGCAACTTATTCCCCGTGGAATTAAAATAACAATTTTAACAGACTAGTGGAAATGTATGCCATTCTTAATAAAACTCTAGCGGACAACCCGCCCTCCCCCGCCACTAGCTCATGTCGAGTACACTTTTGAATTGCCCCCCTTAACAATCAAATTGCCCCCCTGTAGAGTGTGGGCCCCATTTTGGGAAACACTGTACTACAGGTATATATGCAATACACAAAATGGAGGAGTTTTACTGTTTTAAAAACAAAATGTTTATTAAAATTATTCTACTTTTTGCAGGTCTCGATCTTCTGCCAACACTAAATAATTTAAGGTAAGTTTTAGTATTGTTCCCTCTATAATATGTGAGTTTAATAAGCACTTGACGCAAGCAACTGACGATATCGATGGTCTAGCGGTCTAGCACACCGCTTTACGACCGATGGTCGCGGGTTGATTCCTCGCACGGCACAAACATTTGTATGAGTATGATTGTTTGTATCGGTCTGGATGTTTTCTATGTATAATATGTATGTATTTACAAAAAAAAAACCTATGTACATGTATCAGTTATCTAGTACCCATAACACAAGCTGTAGCTAGCTTAACGTGGGTCTAGATGGCGCTGTGTGAATTGTCCTGAGATGATTATTATTATAACTTAGATAGATTAGATAGATAGATTAGATAGTTTAGATAGATAGACTAGATTAGATAAGTTTTTTATTTACGTTAAAAAATCACATTTTTTTGCCTATAGTGCATACGCAAAAAAATATGAATTTGTCAATTATTACGTTTACCATCACGTCGACAGTTCTGCTAAACCCAACTGAGATAATACCGTGAAGTGTATATTTTATTTATATTTTTATACTACGATGGTGGCAAACAAGCATACGGCGCATCTGATGGTAAACGGATACCGTAGCCTATAGACGCCTGATATACCAGGGGTGTCACGTGCGCGTTGCCGACCCTTAAGAAACCTTAATATACCCTTTTTGAAAACCCTCATGCTGTAGTCTCTCAAGAGAACTACGGCAGGTAGTTCATTCCACAATGTAAGTGTACACGGGAGGACGCTACTCTGGTACCGCAATGTCCGAGACCACTTAGGTTCCAGCGAGTGGGGATGAATCTCTGTCGATGGCAAGCGATGTGACGGTAAAATATTGTGGTGTATATTCTAATTGTCTATGTCTCTAAACTGGGCGGTAAGTATATATATATATATATTAATGTAAAACATTTGACATTCATAAGCGGCTAAAATGTCACCAATCAATTATTTTTTAATTTCAATTTAATATTCATTACAAGTCCACGAAGTTAAATAGTTTTCTTTTTAGTTTCCTTTGTTATATATTGGTTATATGAAAGATATATTAATTTTAAAAGATTTAACTAAATTATTAACAACGGAACGAATCGGTTTCAGGTCGCTAAAAACCCATAGCAAATTAAGACAACGACTGGTCGCCATAAAACCATATTATTACACCAATAAAAAACATCAGCTGTATTTTATAGCGTTTTTTTTGACACTCAATATATTTTTTTGCGTGTTACGCTCCATGGAGTTGTTGTAATCAAATCATTCTGTAGTTAACATAGAAAAAAAAAAGATAAAAGATAAAAAAAAAGATAATATAGAAAAAAAAAGCTAAAATAGATGTATTAAGTTGCATTTCTGAGATTGCAGGCAACACTTGTAATAATAATTACATAGTATAAAACAAAGTCGCTATCGCTGTCTGTCCGTCCCTATAATACATGTACACCCGAGCGAAGCCGGGGCGAGTAGCTAGTCTAATATATAAAATTCTCGTGCCACAGGTTTCGTGTTTATACTACTCCATAACGGCTTGACCGATTTTGATGAAATTTTGTATGTATATTCCGTATGTCTGAGAATAGGTTAGTTATAAACTAATTTCTATACCCCTAAGTGTTAAGGCTGACACCAAAATATTTTTTTTTATTTTTCAAATACAACCTTAAATTTTCACCTTTCTATCACCAACCCCTATTTTTTAATAGCGATATAATTTATATGGCAAAACAACGTTTGCATGGTTAACCATACAATAACTAACTATATATATATATATACATATACCTACAGGTTGGAATTATTCAAAAGTGGTTACTAATACACTTGCCGTATTTGGCACGGTCGGCTGCGCCCACGCATCTGTCAACCTTTATCTGCGTTTCAAACGACTCTTTAGAGGGACAATAAATTTATTTTAGGTTTTATAAAGATCGCTCTACAACACACGGTTCTTGTAGTTTTAATAATGTGATTACACTACATAATAATCGACTTTGATCAAATTATTAAGGGTAATTTATTCCCATTTTCTTTTCTGGATGACAATGGAATGATGCACCCGCCTGCGCTAACGGTTTACGCTGGCAGGGCACCAATGGAGGATGATAGGATGAACATGAGGTCAGATCCGTAAACCCATCGTGACAAATTCACTAAGAATTCATTACACGATGGTTTCCAGGGGGAACCCCCTCCCCTAGTTTCAGTTTAAAAAAAAAATATTCGTAAAACATGCGCGATTATATATAAAAACAATTAGGTACAGCATGGATTTGTCTGACATGTTTAGGCTAGCTGTTATAGACATACAAATAAAAATCTTTGAATTTAACACGTTATAGATCGCATGCCCACCGGTGGGTCACTCCGCAATGAAAGCAAATTTACACGTTGGGATCGGGAGATCACCCGTGGGCAGTTTAATTGACATAAATCTGGGGGTTAAATAATGTCTACCTAAACTTATTGTACACTAAAAACATATTTCAAAAAATAATATACGTAATTAAGAATAAAAAAAAATGGATCCTATGTTAAAATTATACATAACTAACTACTCGCTCCGGCTTCACACGGGTGTACATGTATTATATATATAGACCTTCCTCAATATCCTTGTTTTAAAGATCACTCTTTGTTTTATCTGTTAAAAAAACCTTGAATCACTCTATCAATTCAAAATCCGTTGCGTAGTTTTAAAGATTTAAGCATACATAGGGACGGACAGACAGCGACAGACTTTGACAGCGACTTTGTTTTATACTTCAAAATCCGTTGCGTAGTTTTAAAGATTTGTAGGGACGGACAGACAGCGAAAGTCAATCTTTAATAATAAATAGACTCCACTGTCTGTTCAGTAAGATCTTTTGAGCTACGTAACTTAATTAGTATTTTAATGTAATTTGTAATAGATAGAGTTATTCAAAAGGACTGTATGACTGTCCAATTCAAACGGCGATCGAAATTACGACTCCCTGATCCTAGCGACGCCCTCAGACTAAAGTCGTATCCGTCAGACGGGAGTTGGCCGCTCCATAAGTCCTTCCGCGGGTTTGGAGTGCCATCTGCACTCGCCCCCTACCATCCCGTGAACCTTTAAAGGCCAGCAGCGGCCAACAGCATTAGAGTAGTCCGAAAAAACATGTAAATATATATAATACTAGCTGTTCCCGAGACTTCGTCCGCGTGGAATAAAACTTTATTTTTCTAAAATAAAAGTTGCCTAAGTTACTCCTTAATACATCAGCTACCTGCCAAAAAAAGTCCCGTCATAATCGGTCCAGACATTTCAGAGATTAGCCGGAACAAATAGACTGACAGGCAGACAGACAAAAATTGTTAAAAATGGTTACGTCAATATTACAAACAGATACTCCAATTTTATTTATATCTATAGATTAGTATGACGAGTGTGCATGGCAATAGTTGTTCATGCACTGAATTTTCATTTAATGTTGGACATAGACACCTATATAAATATACATTGTAAATAAACTAGCTTTAAAAAAAAAAAGTAATTCAATTGAGTTTCTTGACAGTTCTTCTCAATTGGATCTATATACCGAACTGGACGGTAGGGAAAAAATAAAATTATAATGTAAAAATTTGACGTTCATAAGCGGATAAAATGTCCTACATGAATAAATGATTTTTGAATTTGAATTTGAATTTGAATATGGAAGTTAGTTGGATACTAAGTTATGAGAGTAAAGTTGAAAGACTAATAAGACGGTGGGCTGATGATATTGTGGACTATATAGGAAAAGACTGGTTAGCTATAGGAAAAAACGAGACGAGAGAATATTGGAAAAAGATAGATGATGCCTTCACCCAAAGAGGGGTCCATATCCACAAATAGATAAAAAAAACTAACAATTTCTTTTTTTATTTGTACAAACTTCTGGATGGTTATGGAAATAAAAGGGTTTATTATTATTATTATCATATTCAAACTATAATAATAATAATAATAACGTCCTCTCAACTACAGGTGTCATACCGAAACACATGCATCAGACATTAAATACCCTGAACTTGCCCCCTAATATATACTGCCAACTACAGAAGGCTGTAGTTCTAAACACATGCCGGATTGTTAGAAAGTTTCTACAGACAGATTAGGCCTACATTTGTATATCCACCTGATATAGAACATTGTTATGTACTTGGCTTAGGCCCGTACATAACAAGATTACCGGCGAAAGTCGAGAAAAAATAATATAAAAAAATAATAATAATAAAGCCTTTTATTATTATTATTATTATACAGAAGTTTGTACAAATAAAAACAGAAATTATTAGTTTTTTTTTTGTTCAAAAACATACATATATTAAAATATGTTATTAATTTTCAGATCCTGTTCTGATGTTTATAATAACATATTACTCATTAATTACAATATTTCTTGTATGAAAATTAACGAATCGGTTATACATTAATAATCATATTTTATTAATATTTATGGTCAAACTTCTTTTTGTTGAACATAAATCAGTGTTCAGGTGATCATTTACAACTGCCTACAACAAGATTAACATCATTCAAATAAAAAAAATTAAGCGATCACAAACTCTTTTAAATTATTCCATACTAGTTGTATACCGCGGTAACAACCTATATTACTCACTGATTTAATAACCTTATATATAAAATTCTCGTGTCACAATTTTCGTTCCCATACTCCTCCGAAACGGCTTGACCGATTCTCATGAAATGTTGTGAGCGTATTGAGTAGGTCTGAGAATCGGCCAACGTCTATTTTTCCCCCTAAATGTTAGGGGTAGTCCACCCCTAAATCTTTATTTTAAGGCAAAACAATGTTTGCCGGGACAGCTAGTATAATATAAATTCATAATATTACTAATATTTCTTCTTTCTTTTCTAATAATCTAAATATATATAACTCAAAGGTGACTGACATAGTGATCTATCATCGCACAGCCCAAACCACTGGACGGATCGGGCTGGAATTTGGCACACTGGTAGATGTTATGACGTAGGCATCCGCTAAGAAAGGATTTTGATTAATTCTACCCCCAAGGGGATAAAATAGGGGATGAAAGTTTGCATGAAACTTTGTCAATTTCAAACCAATCGGGAGACTTTGCATGCATAAAGCTACTATGACGTAGCATCCCTTAAGAAAGAATTTTGATAAATTCCACCCCTAAGGGGATAAATTAACGCGAGCGAAGCCGCGGGCAAATGCTAGTATAATATAAATTCATAATCTTACTAATATTTCTTCTTTCCTCGTGTATATATATATATATATAAACACGAAGTAGTCTACTGAATACCTGGCTGACTAGTGTCCATAGGGATTTGAAGGAGTTAGGCCTGTCAAATGACGTAAATTTTACGTTAGGAAAATCTTTATAGAGCTCTACCGCCTTAGGGGCCAGACGAGTCCCCATTTGGCCCCAAAGCCGGTAGAGCTCTAAAGATTTGCCGGATTCTTAACGTCCAAACCTGACGGCTATTACTCCTCGTCTACATATTTCCGTGCCAATGGGATCGTACTAGGCATTCACCAAGACCACGGGTATGGTTCCCATCGAAGGGACCTTTCATCTAGCCGAGTAGAGAATAGCTGCATGCCACCTTCAAACTCTAATGCTTCACCGGTGAGGACTATTGGATCCCTACGCCCTCAATGAAAGAATTAACAGAATAAACCACGATCCTAAACTGTTTAATTTAATTACAGACACGAAGCAGCAAGTCAGCCAGACCTTGGCGTCCAACTCGATGTGTTCGAGGAACAAAGGGAGAGCGACGAAGCCCAAGGACCAGGAGGGATCAATCTCAATTCACACCTGGATGTATTCTACGCAATACTCAAACAGGTAGACTCTACTGTAAATATTATCTACGGAACACCGTACAATAATATATGTTCATATAAATGACTTATTTACTAAATAGTATTATAATAAAACCACCCTGTATTTATAAGTAGTCATAATGAGACGTATCTTTTATCAATAACATTATCATTCTATCACTATCAACTAAGTGTAGGAAGCTACACCTATTTCTTTGGTCCTTCGAGCCGGATTAATCGAGTTATAAGTGTTTTTCGCTGTTGATCATGAATGTAATGTTAACCAACATTTATTTAAAAGAGCAACACGCAAATTTCATGCTTATCTTCTTGTGATTAGTCAGCTTTCCGAATGAGCGGTGAAATAAAAAAAATATTATATGATTTTTCTGTTAACGGGATATTATTTTAGAGCTTCATAAGGCAATAACATAAACTGTTTTTCACGATTGATTATTTGTACACATTTAAATGAAATATTTACCACAATTACATTATTGAGCGCCCGATATTTCGACGTTGTTATAGATCACTGATCTACTCAATCTTACCACAAATATTTTATCAAATTAGTTGTTATTTTACGTACATTTCATTTCGGAAATGCTGTTTGGTCGCTGAACAGTCTACACTAGGCTTCCGAGCTATATCCGAACTGTATTCATGATGATGATGCCTGATGATCGTATCGACACGTATCGCAATATGAGTCGAATAGAAGTTCGTAACGCTTCCGGTAACGGTGGTTTCTGGTTGCTGGTGAATGGTAGCGAAATTAAACAAAATAATATACACTAAATAATAAATATTATCTACAGGACACCGGCATCTTCAATTTATGAAAAGAACCGCTGAAATTTATCAGTAACAAAATATCAATCTAAGTATAATTTTTCCAATGTACGAATGCAGTACATTCATTCATAATTTAAGAGCTGTGCTCTTGTTGGTGGAGCTCCCGCCACCTTCCACAATCTTCTATCAGGCCTTTTAGCTGTTGATACGACACGACTCCAACTTTTTATTTAACTTGCTTGATATAGCTGTGTCTTGGTCCCCTTCCTCTCTATTTTCTCCATCTCCATTTATATTCTCCATCTATTTTTTTTTCAATAATGGTATTAAATAGTTCGTCGTGTTCTATCAACTGCCCCAATATTTTCCCCTGCCTATGTATGAATGCAGTACAAGAGTTTAAATTTAATTTACAGGTAGCAGATACACCTCAAGAGATACCGTTCTTGAGCATTCTGCAGCATCTTCTGCGTATAGATCCTAAGGAACCTGTCAGCGATATAGTATGGGATACAGCAGAAACTCTAGTCCACCGAGCCACATTGTTGGAGAGCAGGGAAGATGCTGCGAAACTCCTCAGAGCTCCTAGTGTACAGGTTTGATTATTGTCAAAATTATATTCTCACTAAGAGGAGAAGACTCTTCATTTAACAGTCTTTGTTTTGGTAGAAGTTTTATTTCATTTGAAGTCATTATTACATATTAAAACAAAGTCACTTTCGCTGTCTGTCCGTCCCTATGTATGCTTAAATCTTTAAAACTACGCAACGGATTTTGAAGCGGTTTTTTAAATAAATAGAGTGATTCAAGAGGAGGGTTTATATATATAATACATGTACACCCGGGCGAAGCCGGGGCGAGTAGCTAGTCATTAATAATTAACGGTAGAGGGTGTTGAAATTTTCCGACCACAACCTAAAGATGGCGACACTCGTCAAGAAAGCTAGTGTGCGTATATTTTAACAATAACTCATCAAAGTTTCTGCTATTTTGGATGAGCAGTTTTTAGTTGTTGTTTATATGTAAATTATTATCACTATTAAAAAATAGGGGTTGATGGTAGAAGGGTGAAAATTTCGGATTGTATGTTTAACTTTGGGAGGGTCATCCTTATTATCACTGTGAAAAAAATAGATCTACCAAGTATACACATAAAATTTCATCAAAATCGGTTCAATAGTTTAGGATTCTTCTTTAATACAATGATAGTAGGAAACAAGCATGCGGCCCATCTGATGGTAAACGGTTAATATAGCCTATAGACGCCTGAAACACCAGGGGTGTCACGTATGCCTTAAGTAACCTTAATATATTCTTGAAAAACCCCATGCTGTAAGCTCTGGAGAAAACCTCGGCAGGTAGTTCATTCCACAATCTAAGTGGACGCGGGAGGAAGCTCCTCTGAAATCGCACTGTCCGATTCTCTCGCGGACTAACATGACCCGATATTTTTATGTATATTCTAGGCAAAAATGGGATGTGCATGTCAGCACAGAGATGTATCCGCGGCTGGCAGGAAGCAGAGTCTGCAGCGGGCACTATCCCCCCCGCCTCCGCCCCCGCCCCCCGCGCCCGTCGCTCCACCCATGGCAGGTAAACAATTTTTTTTAAATATCTTAAACTATTATATATTTTATTCTTATTTAAGCCTTTTAAGAAGAATGCTTGTGTTATGGATACTAGACAATTGATACAAATACATAGTTATTTTTTCGTAAATACATACCTACAAATTATACATAGAAAACACCCAGACAAACAATCATACTCATGAATACAAATGTGTGTGCCGTGCGAGGAATCGAACCCGCGACCATCGGACGTAATGCGGTGTGCCAGACCGCTAGACCACCGATGTCGTCAAATTATGATGATATCTGGTAAATCGTCAGAAACGCCATGCTGGATACGTAAGCTGACTAAAAGCTATTCCGACAATATATACCGTTAGAGCAGACGATATTTGAATTAAAAATAATTGGTACAGTCATCCCCCCTCCGCCGGCGCCGGTGATGCCCCCGCCTCCCCGCGCCCCACCACCCCCACAGCTGCCCCCGCCGCCAGGCCCCGCGCCCCCTGCGCCCCCTGCACCACCTGTGCTCGACGTCAGACTCCCGCAGCAGGAGACTCCGATACCCAAAACCAAGATGAAGACCATCAATTGGAACAAAATACCCAACAACAAAGTGAGTATAGCGCGAATGGACTTTTACATGTAAATATACACCCATCTTTATATATAAAAATTATGTGTCACGTTTTATGTGATGGACTCCTAAACTACTGAATCGATTGCAAATTGAATTTGCACATTGTGTGCACTATCAGTTTGATCCAACTTGTAAGATATAATAGCTTACATCTCAATTTATAGTCGCATCATTATTTTACTGCAAATTATTTGTCTATTATTAACCCATAACAACGCGTATCTAGGTCTGCTAGTTTCTTTTATATACATAAATTTCATCTATACATTGGTGTGTAGAATTTACCATATTATACATACGTTTCTATGTACTATAAAAACAGCAGTAGCCATCATTATTATCATCTCCATATGCCAGTTGTGAATTATAAACTCATAATCAGTCACTTAAATGATTTGCTAGTAAATAATGCTCCAATGTAAAGAAAAATTTTCTATTATGTCATAGTAAATTACAATTAATACATCTTTATCTTCAGGTAATCGGACAGAACAACATCTGGGCAATAGTGGCGTCCAGTCACAAGCACTCGCCGAAAACTGAACTAGACTGGAGCGAAATCGAGGGGCTGTTTTGCCAGCAGGTAGAACAAAATTATTATATGTTCTCATCTGATTCTTTATCTCATTTAATTGGAGTGAGTGTAATATGTTTTTCTCTTCCATCTCTGTTCGCAGTCATCTCATTATTCACTCCCTTTCTTTCATACAGTCCATCTATCTCTTTTTTAGGCTTTAATCTGGCCTTATTATCATCTACATTTAAAATATTGTCTTCATTCATAAGCATTACAAATTTATTCTAATGCTTATGAATGAAGACAATATTTTAAATGTATATGATAACTATGTAACTTCATGATTAGATGACCAACAGTATTAGAATAGTTCGAAAGATCATCTTTCATACAGTCTACATCTCTTTTTGGCCTTCCCCTGCCCTTATAACCATCCAACTTTAAAATATTATCTTCATTCCTACGCATTACAAATTTATTCTGTGTATCATGATTATTAACATTAAAGCCAACAGCACAGTTCGAAAAAAAAGATCGTATGATTAATGATCATTCAACATAATTAAATTTTGTAGGTCCAGTGTATACCAACTGTATCGTATTATGTAAATTTTTAAATAAATGAAAAAAACAACGAACGATAGATTTATATCGTTTAATTAAATTTGCCAGAAAAAAATACAAATGTGTTATAAAATATTTTCTTTGTGAAAAAGCTTATTTATAAAATTGAAGAATTTATAAATTATAATAACGTTTTGTAGAAAATATCGAACTTAAAATTCATAGCGCTGACAATGTTATCTGATTGAACAGATTAAGTGCGTAGCGGTTTCTATGTTGATTCTCATATGCCTAATCCTTGTTGTTAATTAAATATAAGTAAATTAATATTTATTTAATAGGGCAACACAGAAGTTTTTTGCTCATTCTTCTTGTGATAAGTCTGCATTCCGAATGAGCAGTAGAATCAAAAAACTTGACTATTCCAAAGTGCTTATATTAAGTTTATTTGAAATAAGATTATTGCTATTTCTATTTCTTAAATAACGATAGTTTTTAATCTACATGTTCAGATATTTTTTTTGCAAGTTTACCAAACCGTAGGTTAAGTAAGGTTCTTGCAATATATTCGGAAAACTGTTGTTAAATCTTAAACAATCCGTCTTTCAGGTTCAACCAACAGGATCAGCAGGCTCCTCCCCTCGTCTCGGACGGAGCCCAATATGCGACAGCTCCGGTGAGAGAAAACCGAGGAAGGAATCTTCTGAAATAACTCTCTTAGACGGCAAAAGAAGTTTAAATGTTAACATTTTCTTAAAACAATTCCGAAGGTGTGTTTCAGATTTTATCTTATTGTTAGGTGATTTAGAAAATAATTGTTATTGTGATGTAATAAGTTTTAATAATGTGTTTTTAGTTCCAATGAGGATATAATCCAACTGATTCGTGAAGGATCTCACGACGATATTGGAGCTGAAAAATTAAGAGGTCTTCTAAAAATCCTGCCCGAAATAGACGAATGCGAAATGCTAAAAGCATTTTCTGGAGATTCGACTAAACTGGGAAATGCTGAGAAATTTCTGTTGCAACTGATTCAATTGCCCAGGTTAGTATCTTTGATTATAGTTTTAATAAAATACATAATAATGTAAATACTTATACATATTCATTCGTTTCTTTAGCTATAAACTCCGTATTGAGTGCATGTTGCTAAAAGAAGAATGGCCATCAACAGCAGGTTATTTAGAAAGCGCTATCAATGCTATTTTAGTGGCAGGTGATGATCTGATATCTTCAAGAGCAATACAGGTATAGTACCATTTTTTAATTCTCATTATTGTGAAGACCTGTACATTATTTTCTTTAATAACAAATTCCATAAAGCAATTGTTTGCCATTTACTCCAAAATTATTATCTTAAATAATTTCAGGAAATCTTATACATAGCACTCATAGCAGGAAACTTTTTAAATGCTGGAGGGTACGCGGGGGGTGCTGCAGGGGTGAAGTTATCATCCCTACAGAAATTATCTGATATTAGAGCCAATAAACCTGGAATGAATTTGATGCACTATGTCGCTATGGTGAGTCACATTATTATATGTACATTAAATTTATCATAACATATCTATTATTTTGAGGTGTATATATCTAAAATTTTATATGATACAGCAAGCGGAACGCAAAAACAAAGAACTAGTCCATTTTGCTGATGACACACGAGTTTTGGACGAAGCGGCTAAAGCAAGTGTGGAACAGTTGCACAACGAAATCAAAACCTTGAGCAATAGGATCGAACAATTGAAGAAGGAAATTCAACTGCCAACCACACAGCAAGATATTAAGGACCAAATGGGAAATTTCTTACAGGTAAATTAAAAATCATTATTATTTTCTGTCCTGTATGACATAAATAATAATTAGATATATAAATTTATAAATACAACAAAATAATATTGGGTTTAACATTAAGGTCGCTGAACAAGAAGTGTCGGCCCTAAATAAAGACATGGAAGAAGTGGAAAGCATGAGGAAACAGCTAGCTGATTTCTTTTGTGAAGATCCCGTGTCATTCAAGCTAGAAGAGTGTTTTAAGGTTAGTAAATAGTTCTCTTTTTGCTTTTATTATGCTTAATTACTACCTATATTTTACAATTTTAGAAAAATAAAGATGTGTAATTTATTTCAGCAACACAATTTTTACTTAATTATGAGTAGTTGTTGAAGCTGTCTTTTAATCATAATTTTTTTTTGTCAATAAAAGTCTCTTATATAGCATAACTGATCAGTTTCAGTATACGTGTTTTGTTCAATAGCCATATCGTTATTAATGAAATATGACATTATGTATGTAACAGTAATTAAATCAATAATGAAATGTAGTACGTTGTTAAATCTACTAATTTTTGGTAGAGTACCTCAAGGTTCATATCTGGGACCCATGCTTTTTCCTAATGTTGATGTGACATAAATTTGCAATTATTGCACGCGAGGCGAGTAGTGGTCGAATTTAAAACGTGATGTGCGTGTTGTGCAGACGTTTGCGACGTTCTGCGGCAAGTTCCGGTCGGCGGCACGCGACAACGCGCGGCGTCGCGCGCACGAGGAGCAGGCTGCCGCACGAAGACGAGCACGTGACCTCGCCGCCGCGCGCCCGCGCCCCACGCCCGGTATACATTTGTTTTTAATATGTATTATGGTTTTCAAAATGTTTTTTCAATATTAGATTTTATCTCTTGGGAATTTTATTTGATTATATTGGTTTACGATTAATTTCTTCGAGATTTTATTTGGTTTTGCCAATACTGAGTATACGTTGAATCTGTATAAAACCATTTCATTCTCAGGTGGAGGCAGTGTCTGCAGTACGCCAGTGTCCGAGTGCGAGTCACTGATGGAATCTCTACTATTAGACATAAGGAATGGCCTCGGAAGGAGATCATTGAGAAAGTCGCATGATCCTTCGCCGTCTCCAGGTATATTAAAGATTAACAGAACTCCTAAATTCTAAGATCAATTTCATCATAAAAAATTTAATCCACTACTAAATATAAGGCCGCTTCCAAACGTAACCTGAACCTGGTTTGTATTGGTTTAGCTATAAGTGTGATGTGGTACTGATGTGATACTGAGCTGATATGTATCGACAGACGTGACGCCGACGGGCAGCCTGCGCCGCCGCAGCCGCGCGAGCCCGGCGGAGCACGAGGAGGCGCTGCTGGAGTTCCTGCGGCACGCCGCGCCCGACCCCTCGCGCGAGCGCAGCGCCTGGGGCAGCCTCGGTAACTACACGCCTCGTGTAATGTGGGTGTAATGCTAGAGACGAGCCCGGCGGAGCACGAGGAGGCGCTGCTGGAGTTCCTGCGGCACGCCGCGCCCGACCCCTCGCGCGAGCGCAGCGCCTGGGGCAGCCTCGGTAACTACACGCCTCGTGTAATGTGGGTGTAATGCTAGAGACGAGCCCGGCGGAGCACGAGGAGGCGCTGCTGGAGTTCCTGCGGCACGCCGCGCCCGACCCCTCGCGCGAGCGCAGCGCCTGGGGCAGCCTCGGTAACTACACGCCTCGTGTAATGTGGGTGTAATGCTAGAGACGAGCCCGGCGGAGCACGAGGAGGCGCTGCTGGAGTTCCTGCGGCACGCCGCGCCCGACCCCTCGCGCGAGCGCAGCGCCTGGGGCAGCCTCGGTAACTACACGCCTCGTGTAATGTGGGTGTAATGCTAGAGACGAGCCCGGCGGAGCACGAGGAGGCGCTGCTGGAGTTCCTGCGGCACGCCGCGCCCGACCCCTCGCGCGAGCGCAGCGCCTGGGGCAGCCTCGGTAACTACACGCCTCGTGTAATGTGGGTGTAATGCTAGAGACGAGCCCGGCGGAGCACGAGGAGGCGCTGCTGGAGTTCCTGCGGCACGCCGCGCCCGACCCCTCGCGCGAGCGCAGCGCCTGGGGCAGCCTCGGTAACTACACGCCTCGTGTAATGTGGGTGTAATGCTAGAGACGAGCCCGGCGGAGCACGAGGAGGCGCTGCTGGAGTTCCTGCGGCACGCCGCGCCCGACCCCTCGCGCGAGCGCAGCGCCTGGGGCAGCCTCGGTAACTACACGCCTCGTGTAATGTGGGTGTAATGCTAGAGACGAGCCCGGCGGAGCACGAGGAGGCGCTGCTGGAGTTCCTGCGGCACGCCGCGCCCGACCCCTCGCGCGAGCGCAGCGCCTGGGGCAGCCTCGGTAACTACACGCCTCGTGTAATGTGGGTGTAATGCTAGAGACGAGCCCGGCGGAGCACGAGGAGGCGCTGCTGGAGTTCCTGCGGCACGCCGCGCCCGACCCCTCGCGCGAGCGCAGCGCCTGGGGCAGCCTCGGTAACTACACGCCTCGTGTAATGTGGGTGTAATGCTAGAGACGAGCCCGGCGGAGCACGAGGAAGCGCTGCTGGAGTTTCTCCACCTTCACCACACACTTCTTCCTTTGTTTAACTCCACTCTCTCCAGCTCATTTTCATATATTTACGACGCTTCTTCCTTTATTTAACTTTAGTCTATGCTGCTTTTCAGTGTATTATCTATTTATGCCGTATTTATATCTATTACCCGATTTTTTAATTGAAATGGCAGACAACCATTAAGTTGACGGCCCATCAGTAAGGTAACCATCGTTCATGCAGTAATATGGACATTGTACACTACGTTATCATGTGACCACTCGTGCATAGTATTTAGTTGTATCTACGACCGATTTTAAAACACAAACTGACTTGATATAATATATTTCGTTGAAGTCTTCTTGAAATATACTATTCTTTACCTCCTTCATCGTTTGAACTTTGTTTTCTACTATTCGCACATTTTAATTAGTAACTGGCTGAGTTTATACAAAGGGACAACTGCATCGAAATCGGTTAGCCTTTTCTGAGCTTAATGTGCAGGCAAATATACAAATATCAGCTTATACAAAGTGAAAACTGCACCCAAATCCGTTAGCCTTTTTTGAGCTTAAAGCGCAAACCACACATACAAAAATTGAAAAATATATAATAGTTCATACAAAGACATGTAGAGACATGGAACAGTTAAATTTCGATTTGACTTGAATATGCTAACGAAAGGCTTTTGTCCAACTTCAGATCGGTCATGGTCCCGACGAGGTCCAGTTCGAGCACGGCTCGAGATTCCCGAACGCGAGCGAGAACGAGAAAGAGAACACGAACGGGAACGCGAAAGGGAACGAGAACGGGAATCAGAACGCGAACGAGAATCATCACCTCGAACGCCCGCATCTCCCGCACCGCGACAAGAAGATGCTGGAGCGCCGAAACCTAAGTACGTGCTTGTCATTTCTCTCAATTCATATTAAAAAAACATTTATTGTTTATGACATGACGACCTCGGTGGTCTAGCAGTCTAGCACACCGCTTTACGTCCGATGGTCGCGGGTTCAATTCCTCGCACAAACTTTTGTATTCATGAGTATCATTGTTTGTATCGATCGGGTTGATCCATCAACCCGAATAATCAGAACAATCAGAACTAGAGAATAGATACAAATACCTCTAGTACCATAAATAACTATCTAGTACATAATACAAGCTTTAGCTATCTTAACTTGGGTATAGATGGCGCTGTGTGAATTGTCCTGAGATTATTATTATTATTATACAGTATATGTGGGATTGGTATGTAACGGAAAGACTGTGTTAACTGAAAGATGTATGTATGCACGAATTGAAACGTGAATGACGAGAGAATGGATATATAAGTAAAGGAAATCGAATAAACGAGTCCGTCAGGCAGGAGCTAGCCTTCAGCCGCTCCATAAGTCCTTCCACGGGTTTGGGAGGCCATCTGCACTCGCCCTCTAACATACGGTGAAGCTGTAAAGGCCAGCTGCATTATTTAGTATACATCTAATGATTTTATTATTGATTTAAATATAAATAAATATTTTTTGCTTTATATTTATATATCTTTTTTTTTACATTTCTCATTTATATTAGTGCATTTCATGTATATTCTCTGCACCACTCATGGTTGCCTGGTAGATAACGCCGCAAGGTATTGAGTCCGCTATAAGTACACATTAAATTCAAAATTCAAAAATCATTTATTCATGTAGGACATTTTAGCCGCTTATGAACGTCAAATTTTTACATTATAATTTTATTTTTTCCCTACCGTCCAGTTCGGTATATAGATCCAATTGAGAAGAACTGGCAAGAAACTCAATTGAATTACTTTTTTTTTAAAGCCAGTTTATTTACAATGTATATAACAGGAGGCTATATACATTGGAGATATATATATCATACAAGGGCTTCGCCATTTCTTCTTGTAACGCCAATTCATAAAACTACTCTTTGCCGGGGATCATTTAAAATAGCGGCCTCAAAAACATGGAATGTTCTCCCACCACCTATGCGTGAAGTGAAAACAAAATATACTTTCCGAAAGCATTTTAAAGAACATTTGCTACAAGTTCAAAAAAATAATTGATAATAACGATAAAGGATTCATTAAAGGCGCGTGGGTGGCGACATTTACCTTGGCTGAAACTATTTGCTGGTACCAGAGAGCAAGTGTTATGGATATTTTTATTTTAATAATGCGATACCGTTATTAGAATACGTAAAATGCACCGTACGCATCACTGTGGGTACATATATATATATATATTTTTTTTTTTTTAATTTTATTTCTTTGTAATTGTTTATTTTTTCTTTTATCCATTACGTATATAATGTTTTAGGATTATTATTTAAGATTATTAATATATAATTTTACTTTTTATTATTTATATACTTTTCTCTTGATATTATTATTTTTATTTTAATTGCATAGTATCTGATTTATTAAGTTAATGTATAAGTATTTTTTAATTGTAATATTTGCGCGTCCGTACTGGGGGCCCAACTGAAAATCAGCGCTGGAAACTATTTCCAGCATTATGCTGAGTTGTGGCCCACATTGACTCCGTTTTTTAATGTGTAAATTATTCTTGTATTTCTTATGTTATTACTGTAAAAACGAGTTAATAAAAAAATTCTATTTCTATTTCTATTTCTATATTTATATAGGTGTCTATGTCTAACATTAAATGAAAATTCAGTGCATGAACAACTATTGCCATGCACACTCGTCATTATTTTTGTTCATTAAAGTTAAATAAATGAATACAGGGAATGGCGACAAAAAATCGAATCGTGGCTGCGTGCGAACAGCCAAGAAGAACAACGAGATGCCGAACTACGAGAGAGAGCGCGCCGACTGCAAGCCAACCGGCGGTCCTTGGAAAACGATTCCGGTTTGCTCACATTCTTTATCTTTTAGAAATACAATGTTTGACTATACATCTATACATATAAATAAAATTGGAGTGTCTGTTTGTAATATTGAAATAACCGTTTTTTACTACATGCATGGTACATACACCAAAATAACATTTTTTACAATTTTTGACTGTCTGTCTGTTTGTTCCGGCTAATCTCTGAAATGGCTGGACTGATTTTGACGGGAGTTTTATTGGCCGGTAGCTGATGTAATAAAGAGTAACTTAGGTTACTTTTAATTTAGAAAAATAAAGATAAATTCCATGCGGATGAAGTCCAGGTAGTTAATAAATAGCAATGTACATAAATAAGTGATGTGATGAATGGTGCGGGCGCGGCGCTGGCCCCGCTGGCGGAGGTAACAATATATATAAATAAGTGATGTGATGTGTGGTCGGCATGTTCAGAGAGAGAGTCCCGTGCGGGCGCGGCGCTGGCCCCGCTGGCGGAGGTAACAATATATATAAATAAGTGATGTGATGTGTGGTCGGCATGTTCAGAGAGCGAGTCCCGTGCGGGCGCGGCGCTGGCCCCGCTGGCGGAGGTAACAATATATATAAATAAGTGATGTGATGTGTGGTCGGCATGTTCAGAGAGCGAGTCCCGTGCGGGCGCGGCGCTGGCCCCGCTGGCGGAGGTAACAATATATATAAATAAGTGATGTGATGTGTGGTCGGCATGTTCAGAGAGCGAGTCCCGTGCGGGCGCGGCGCTGGCCCCGCTGGCGGAGGTAACAATATATATAAATAAGTGATGTGATGTGTGGTCGGCATGTTCAGAGAGCGAGTCCCGTGCGGGCGCGGCGCTGGCCCCGCTGGCGGAGGTAACAATATATATAAATAAGTGATGTGATGTGTGGTCGGCATGTTCAGAGAGCGAGTCCCGTGCGGGCGCGGCGCTGGCCCCGCTGGCGGAGGTAACAATATATATAAATAAGTGATGTGATGTGTGGTCGGCATGTTCAGAGAGCGAGTCCCGTGCGGGCGCGGCGCTGGCCCCGCTGGCGGAGGTAACAATATATATAAATAAGTGATGTGATGTGTGGTCGGCATGTTCAGAGAGCGAGTCCCGTGCGGGCGCGGCGCTGGCCCCGCTGGCGGAGGTAACAATATATATAAATAAGTGATGTGATGTGTGGTCGGCATGTTCAGAGAGCGAGTCCCGTGCGGGCGCGGCGCTGGCCCCGCTGGCGGAGGTAACAATATATATAAATAAGTGATGTGATGTGTGGTCGGCATGTTCAGAGAGCGAGTCCCGTGCGGGCGCGGCGCTGGCCCCGCTGGCGGAGGTAACAATATATATAAATAAGTGATGTGATGTGTGGTCGGCATGTTCAGAGAGCGAGTCCCGTGCGGGCGCGGCGCTGGCCCCGCTGGCGGAGGTAACAATATATATAAATAAGTGATGTGATGTGTGGTCGGCATGTTCAGAGAGCGAGTCCCGTGCGGGCGCGGCGCTGGCCCCGCTGGCGGAGGTAACAATATATATAAATAAGTGATGTGATGTGTGGTCGGCATGTTCAGAGAGCGAGTCCCGTGCGGGCGCGGCGCTGGCCCCGCTGGCGGAGGCTCGCCCCGAGTGGCGTCCGCACCGCGCCGTGCTGCGCGACAGCGACGTCGTGCGCACGCTCGAGACCGTCGAGGGTGAGACAGACACACTTGACCTTACTCCTTACATCTAATACCGGTAGCCTCGGTAGTCTAGCAGTTTATTGTCCTTAGTCCTTACATCTAACACCAGTGACGGCCAAGGGTCTAACAGCTTAATTGTCCTTAGTCCTTACATTTAACGTTGGTGACGGCCTCGGTGATCTAGCAGTTTATTGTCCTTACATCTTGTTACGAGTATATACGACCTACTTATTAATTTGTTATTTAATATATTACGAGTAATAGTTTAGTTGTCAAAATACAAAATATAAATTGACATCAGTGTAAATATATTATAAAAAGAGACAATACAATTATTCTGCAAACATACATATTATTATTATTTAACACATCTCAACAAAAAAGAACCCCACCACAACATCTGGCGACCGTGACTTAGAAGAAAAATGTTGAGATTAAGAAAATTAAGAACAAATTTACGCCGATTATTCACAAAGACTGGGAACCAGTTATCAGAAATATTAAAGGAACCCATACGAAATACTGCGGAAATAAAGGTGTGTCATTCAATATTTAAAAGTAAAGCAGACGAATTATTTAAAATTGATAAAGATATTTACAATGAATGGTTGAATGACGACGAAACAAATGAAGATGAATTTTACGCAGATTGTGAAACGGCCGATGAATTTTTGATTAAATGGATTACTCTAGATAATATGTATCAAGACGTAATACAACGGCAGAATAAACATCAACCTGCCTCTCAGTTACCAGTCGTATCACCTGAGAGACAGGATATAAGTCCAAGAATTTCAAATAGAGATGACAATGAACAGAGTGTGAGCAATTATAAAAGTACGAGAATTTTAAAGAATTCACACGATGTGAGTGTCAGTAGAGACTCGATAAATAAAGAAAGAGATGAAAGAGTCGAGTTAGTCATGTCAGGTTTTAAAAGTTATATAAAAGAAGTAAATGAACCGACAATGGAATATATTTCATCGGGTATGAGTAAGAAATACGAAGGAGATGAAAAGATAGAAAAAGACGTAAGGAAACATTCTTTGAAGTATGAAAAGACTAGTTACGACTATAAACAAAAGAAGGAAGAACAAAAACTAGATACAATTTTGACATACTATGATTATGTAGAAGTGGAAAATAAATTAGTAATGGTTATACAAAGAAAATATTATCAAGTGATTTGGGTGGAAAGATGGTACGCTTGGTGGGAAAGATGGTACCCCTGGTGAGAAGGGATAGAGAGAATAAGCAAAATTAAGACAAACTAAAGTGTTCAAGGCTCATTTACTGTAGGCTACCTGAAGAGCACTTCATGTCTGTGGGAGGATGTTACGAGTATATACGACCTACTTATTAATTTGTTATTTAATATATTACGAGTAATAGTTTAGTTGTCAAAATACAAAATATAAATTGACATCAGTGTAAATATATTATAAAAAGAGACAATACAATTATTCTGCAAACATACATATTATTATTATTTAACACATCTCAACAAAAAAGAACCCCACCACAACACATCTAATATTGATGACGGCCGATGGTCTACCGGTTTAGCACACTGCTTTACTTCCTATGTTTGCGGGTTCGATTCCTCGCATAGTACAAACATTCATGAGTATAATTGTTTGCATCGCTCTGGGTTTTATATGTAGTATGGGTTCCTCGTACAATACAAACATTTGTATTCATGAGTATAATTATTTGTATCTGGGTATTTTATATATAAATTTATGTGTTAACAAAGAAATATTTATATCAGTTGTATCCATAACCTCATCTTGCTTGAGACAAGATGGCGCCTCGTGGATCATTCAGGGTTCTTATTATTATATCATTATCACCGCATGCTTTTTGTGATCCTAACTGACCATCTTTTAAGAAAAATCCATAAATTTGGAGAGAAACAGGAGATAACTGGTTTCATTACATTGCACCTGAATATTTACTAAAACCTATATAAATTAACTGTTATGTCACCAGGAAGATCTATTTCTATGTTATTTGTATTTTACAGATGTACAACCACCGAAAAAAGACAGGGTTCCATGGAGAAAGACTGAGGAAAACGAGGAGATGAGACGACTCAGGAGACAACGTTCCAGACAGCATATAGAAGCCCCACAGTCTCTAGTATCGATCACGGAAGAAGAGAAGAGGAAACTTCCGGATATTAAAGTGACTAGTGATAAAGATATCAGAATAGAGCGAACGGACAGGGAAATCGACGCGGACAATATAGAAACACCGCCGGCCCAAAGAAAATTCTTTAATCCTCCACCGGAAAAAGAACCTTGTCGAAAATTCCAACCGTCTTTATCCAAATTCAATCAGAATGACAAAGCAACGAATGAAATGAAGGACTTGTGTCAGGAGATTTTAGGGGATGGTCAATTTGATAGATTTTCGGCTGCAAGGAGAACAAGAAGATATAAGAGAAACAACGATTCAAGTTCACCAGAAGATGATAAAAAATCTGAAAGTCCTACTGAACTAGTGGCAGAAACACAAGTTATTAGACCTTCCAAACTTGATATTCAAGCATCATATCCTGTTGAAGCTCCGCAAGAAGTAGCAAAACCTATAGAAGTAGTAACGAAAGATGAGAAAGAAAACAGGTTGAAACGTTGGCAAGACAGACTTAAAAACCAAAGTACAGCATCGACTCCAACCAAAGAAACTAAACCACAATACTCTAGAATGAGGCGGCAGACTTCCATCAATCAAGAGGACGTTCAAAAAGCAATAAGAGAATTAAAATCACCGACGGAATCGCCTGCTGGTGTATGGTCTAGGAATACTTATAGGAAATCAATGAATGCCAAAATTGAGAGAGCTCCTGAACGGACTACATCACCGCGAATTCCGAAAGTCAAAAGTGAGCATGAGCTGAACGATGAAGGATTTGAGGAAACTCAAAGTCTAAACTCCGAAAGTGCATCTCAAGGAGCGTCGTCTGGATGCAATGTTGAATGTGACTCTCCTCCCCCAAAAATGACTAAATCCCCTGTCGTTCCAAAGAGAATTTCGACCAAAGAAACAAGAACACCTCCACGGACGCCAGTAGATCCGAAACGTGTGGTACCTAAACGGGCGAATTCTTTAAGAGTTGAGAGATCCACGTCTCGAGCGTCATTGCGCAGTTCTAGAAGTTCTTTGAACAGTGCAGCGTCTGTCGCTACCGTTAAAAAGGCTCCTGCTCCAGTGAAGCCTGCACCGAAGCCAATTCCAAAGCCCATATCTAGAATGCCAGCATCTAGATCGTCCTCATCAGGCAGTTCAGTTGGAACTGCTCGGCCTCCTTTAAAGACAACAAGTAGAACTTCAGGATTCATGAGGCCTACTCAAGCTTCTAAAGGCAGAGGCTCTCTGACTGCACAACCAATTGTTAAAACTAACGTGAAGTAATTCTCTACCAATAAACAACAATTTCAGTCAGTTTAATTTCTAAAAAGAACGATTCGAGTGCCTTTTAACTGTTTTGGATAACACTCTGAACACATTTTGCTTGTGATTGTGAAATTTTCTACTTGCACTTCAATTTTTGATAGACGTTCGTGTGAAGTTTGTATTTTAATAACTTGAAGTGAATTTTAAATTTACGAATTACTCTTGTCGAATGTAAGGATTTCAAATTTTTAATTTCTAGTCTGGACTGAAAGCCATAGCAATTTAGAGACGATACTTTCGAATATTGGTGTTTAAAATACTTCTTGGTCTGTTGATTTATTTATTTTAATTAAAATAAAATTCTTGTAAAGCAGTTTAAAGTCCATTTAAGATTTATTCGAGAATTGAAATAGAATAGTGTTGTCATGATTTTTTTAAGATTAAGAAATAGAAATAGAAATATTCTTTATTCAAATAAACTCATTACAAGCACTTTTGAATAGTCATACTTTTTATTCTACCACTCATTCGGATTGCAGATTTATCACAAGACGAATAAGCAAGAAACTTGTGTTGCTCTTATTAATAGACGTTTTTTTTATATAAATTAATTAACTTAAATTAAAGCAATAGTAGTATAGTCATACTTATTTTTTAATCTATTTAATGATTTTTTAAAGTTTTCACATCTTTATATTGCTATGGCCAGTAACCAGACATCTTATGTATGCTCATTTGATATTTCTATTTTTCTAAGATAACAAATATTGCTATATTTTCTTTTAGTATTATTTAGCAGTAAATAAAGCAATATATACCAATGGGCATAGAGTTACAGAAATAAAAAAATCTATTAACCATATTTTATTGGAATCTTCAGATAATTTAGGCGCTAGAATCTCAACGAAAGTCTGAAGTTTTCAATGACTGATATTAAATATAGTTGATTTTAGTATATTAACTTTACGTAGTATAAAATGAAATCGCTTCTGTTGTCTGTTCAATTATTATAAACTACGCAACGGATTTTAATGTATTTGTAATAGATAGTGATTCAAGAGGAAGGTTTATATATATAATATATGTATACCCGAGTGAAGCCGGGGCGGGTAGGTAGTTATCAATAAAACAATGTCAGCGATACATTTCAAAGTATGAATTATTATTTAAAATTAAAATAAATTTATATATTACCTCGGCGTAAGTGGTGTCTCAAACAGTACCGTCATTTATCAGTCCATTTGAACTTCAAACTACCCAGGAATTAGGAAGTTCCAGTCATTTAGGAGAAGTCAAGTAACGTACACACATATAGAAGAATGTATACTATAACATGAACTCTGTTTCTATTTTGTCGCTAAAAAACAGTGGCTCCATCTCCACTTTTCGCTTGACATTTCTCTATGTTTCACACCTGCCAGGCATTCCCTCGTGCTTCAAGATTAAATCAGTTTTTTTTTACATTAAAATTAGTTTATTTCAGATGAAAATCGATGCTGAATTGTACCTAAAAGTGTTAACTACAATTCTCAGTATATTTTGTTACACATTTATAAATAGATATAATATTTGCTATAGATATTGTTTATACCCAATAATGTGCCACAATTAGTACGGGTATTTTATATATTTCTAACATAAATGATATATATAAATTATTGATCGAATTTATACAGGTCAAGAATTAACAATTTTTGCAAGATTCTTATACATATAATATAATGTTCTGACAATGTTTAGTTTTATAACAAACCCCAGTTATTTCAGTCATTGTTTTTAATTAATCATTTATTTTATAATTACTAATTGATATTTTCTAGTTTAGTGATTCAAAGATATAGATAAATGATCTGATTTATATGTATGACTACGATCAAAAACTGTATGGTCACTGTCCCATAGTCACAATGTATATTTTAATTAAATTAATTAATAAGTTTTAACACCAACTCTTTATTGTATGTGGTCATTTACTAAACTAAATACAATAAATTTATACACATTAAAGTATAATTTGTATTTTTGTACCCTATTCCTTTAGTTAATAAGACTTGGTACATGTGTATTTCACTGCCTAATCTCATCCTTAAACCGAAACACAAATTTAGATTCAAAATATCTTTATTCACGTAGGTCTATTACAGACTTATGATATGTCAAATCTACAGTCAGTTCGGAATGATTTCGAAATGAGAAGAACTGACAAGAAACTCAGCTCGTATTCTTTTTAAATAAATGTTGTACATGTTAACAATAATACAGATTCATTTAAATTCTAATTTGGGAGAATAGAGTGACCACCAGCATATGCTATATAAAAAAATCAAAAAATTATTTCAAAAAAAAAAAGTCTAACCCGTGTGTTTACACTTGATCTTAGCCACTAATCTAAACTTTAAAAGCTTAGCGACTAAATTAGGGAACAAACGAGGTTGTGGCTCAACTTTTTACAAATCTATACATATAAATAAAATTGGAGCGTCTGTTTGTAATATTGAAATAACCGTCTTTTACTACATGCGTATGAATATAAATACGGTACATACAACAAAACTAACATTTTTTACAATTTTTTCTGTCTGTCGGTCTGTTTGTTCCGGCTAATCTTTGAATGATGGCTGGACAGATTTTGACGGGACTTTTTTTTGGTAGGTAGCTAAAGTAATAAGGAGTAACTTAGGCTACTTCTGTTTTAGAAAAATAAATAAAGTCGTGGCAACAGTTCAGTTCTAAATAAAGTCAAGGAAAATTAGTAAAGTATAATGTTTTAAAAAACACCTTAATTTATAGGATTTAAATAGGGAAATTAAAATAACTATGTTTTCAATGTTTATTATACATATGTATTTACAAAAAAAAAATTATATCAATCAGTTGTTTACGCAGATCCTATATAGTTTAGGACTAGATGGTGCCGGGTAATTTAATATTTATTTATTTATTTTTATGTAATGGAATATAAGCTGACGGTCCACCTGATGGTAAGTGATAACCGTTGCCCAATCATGAACAGTACTGCACACATTCGACGCTCCATTGCCATATCAGAGTACAATATGCCTCGTATCCTCGTTTGACGACCTCGGTGGTCTAGCACACCGCTTTACGTCCGATGGTCGCGGGTTCGACTCCTCGCACGGCACAAACATTTGTATTCATGAGTATGATTGTTTGTATCGGTATGGGTATTTTCTATGTATAGTATGTATTTACGAAAAAAAAAATATCTATGTATTTGTATCAGTAATCTAGTACCCATAACACAAGTTTTAGCTAGCTTAACTTGGGTCTAGATGGCGCTGTGTGAATTGTTCTGAGATTATTATTATTATTATTATCCTGTAATTCCACTGTCTTATTTCACCCTTCCACCGAAACACAGCTGGTAAATGTAATGTATGTATGTAAGTATTTGTAATAATTATAAGTAATGTTACAATTGTGCGTCAAATGTGGGTAGGTAAATGTGTTTTTATTATAATGAGTAGTAGCAAGACGTGTTTTCATTATTCCCATATATTCCTAGTGATATAAGGAATCTAAATATATATAACTCAAAGTTGACTGACATAGTGATCTATCAACGCACAGCCCAAACCACTGCACGGATCGGGCTGAAATTTGGCATGCAGGTAGATGTTATGACGTAGGCGTCCGCTAAGAAAGGATTTAGATTAATTCTACCCCCAAGGGGATAAAATAGGGGATGAAAGTTTGTATGAAACTTTGACAATTTTAAACCGATCGGGCTGAGATTTTGCATGCATATAGCTACTATGACATAGGCATCCCCATAGAAAGGATTTTGATAAATTCCACCCCTAAGGGAATAAATTAACGCGAGCGAAGCCGCGGGCAAAAGCTAGATGTTATATATTTTTCAGTAAAGTACACTGCTTGGCGTCTAAAATAGGGGATAAAGGAGCTTGCAGCTCACCTGATGGTAAGCGATTACCTCCGCCCATGGGGTGCTCATGGGAGGCGGTAATGGGAGTCAAAGGACTGGCAGCGCGAGTGGCAGCGTGTTTTTACATTCAGCCCTCTCGCTCAGTTGTCGCCCGGCAATATTTCCGGCAGCGCGAATGGCAGGGGAAGCGGCTGAATGTAAACGTAGCAATAAACTCAGTACATTCTAATAAACGCCGAACGCGGAACTCGGAACTCCTGATCGCTGTGTGCGTGGGCTCTTAAACCTACACCCGGGTCAAGTCCCGGGAACTGCTCAGTATTTCCCTCTCTGCTATACGATGGGCCATCAGCCTCACGGCGAATCCTTGAGATTCTAAGAAATTCTAAACTTTCGTGTTTAATATACATTATTTAAATTATTAACCGGGTCTTAACACGAATAATTTTATGGCAAATAAAGGTATTTACCTCTCTCGACGTTTCATCAACTACATGCGCCTAAGGTCCTCTCTACTGATCGCCACTATTACCCACGAATGGTCCGGTAGGCGATTGAAATTAAAAAACATCCCAATTTCAACAGAGAGGATGGCTTAAAATTATCATCTGCGTGGAATCCAGTCATAAATAAATTCAAGCAAAGTTCAGTAGCATCAATAGTCAATAAGTGTACGGATACCGTGAGTGCTGTGTGTCGCGAACTTTCATTGAACAATCTAGTGACGGTAGATGAAGAAAAAACTGCTGTCACCTATCTACATCGACATCGCTGTTACTCCAGTCAGCTCGTGACCACGGCTAGTGCAACCTAGTCGAAACGTCGAGAGAGGTAAATACCTTTATTTGCCATAAAATTTTTCGTGTTAAGACCCGGTTAATAATTTAAATAATGCTAAGAAATTCGTCAATCTTATATATGGTAACATGTATATTCTATAAGAGTCCTCCATCCACGATTTCTTTTATAAGTTCAGTCATCTTTCGCCGGCAGGCCTCGTTGGAAGTCCATACCGGTACTGGTTGGAAACTCACGCAGTCATTGGAGGCTACCACTTCGCTTTCCTGCAATATAAACATATTTTATCTCCAAAGTATACTCTGAACAAAATCATCTGCGTGGGTACCTCAGTCTCACCTACTTCGTAAGATTTTTTTTATAACATACTAGCTGTACCCTCGACATCGTCCACGTATAATAGTGATCTTGACCAAATAATGATAAAATATTAAATAATGCAACTCAATCAACAGCCTAAAAATAGGCTTTATGTACTGTATATATTTGTATTATAATCATTTCACATCATTACCTCTTTTTATGACAACTGGCCGCTTAGAGACGAGATAGACACGTTACATATTTTCACCTATAAAATATTCTCACGTCATCCGTCACTCGCCTTATACAGCTCTGTTCCATATATATATCTATATTTTCTTTAAGATAATCTTTTGTTAATATTATTCTTTTCAATATACTAATTATTAGGTGAAGGTCTATTTTATTTTTATATTTTTGTTACCGACCTCACGACGGCTGACACAGCTTCAAGCTTCTAACTTTAAAAATTAAGATTCTTCCATACAATCTTGCATCTCCTCTTTCAACCTCTTACAACCCGTTTTACTACTTTTTAATGCGTAAAAAGTAGCCCATGTCCTTTATTATGGTCTAGATTATCTGTGTACTAAATTCAATTTAAATCGGTTCAGGAGTTTTGGCGTGTAAGCGAGACAGACAGACAGACAGAGTTATTTTCGCATTTATAGTAAGGAAGTAAGGATGGGATAAACAAACTTGCAGTGATTACCACCGTCCAAGAGCACACGCAACACCAGGAGAATTGCGTTGCCGGCCTTTTGAGAAGGAATAAGCTGTTTTCTTGAAGGTTTCAATATGGTATCGCTTCGGAAATAACATAGCAGGAAGGTAGGAAGGCAGAAAATGTGGTTTGATTGAGATAAGGCAGTTAAATGACTGTTGACCCTATTTTTTTTTTGTGTATGATAATTGAATGGTGCACCCGCCTGTGCTAACGGTTTACGCTGGCGGGGCACCAGTGGAGGATGACAAGATGAGCATGAGGTCAGCTCAGTTAGCCCATCGTGACAAATTCACCAAGAATTCATCACGATGGTTTCCAGGGAGAACCGCGTGGAGGTCGACCTAACATGGTAACATTGGTGCTAGCAATGGGAGTTACTAGTTCCCATTGCTATCAATTCCCTTCCCCCCTGTTAAATCAGGTTAACTATATTACTAATGTGATGATGCTGTTGACCTTATTACTAGCAATGTACCATGTCAGGTTGACCTCCACGCAGCATGTAAACCATCGTAATTTCTAGTAAATTTGCCACGATGGGCTGACCTGACCTCATGTTTAGGCATGTGGGGCACCGGTGGAGGATGATAAGCATCCTCCACTGGTGTCCCACCAGTGTATACCGTTAGCGCAAGCGGGTGCACCATACTATATTCATATTAAAAAAAAAAGTAGCCGTCCTATTTTTATATATTTTTTTTTTATTTTATTTTTATAAATTTTTTTTTCATTGATTTTAAATTAATTTTATATTTAATTAATTTTTATGCTACTGTAAAAGTTACCTTAGCTTGATAAAGATTAGGAGCTTCGTCACTGTCACACGTCATAATGGGGTACATGTCCAACGCCATCCCGAGGCCGAAATGGCTGCTGCGTTTGAACTCGTCCTCTAACCTTTGGTTTGTATAAAAATATAAAAAAAATATAGTGAAACTAGGGCTATATGGCAAAACGTTGTTTTGCCATATACTCTAAAATCGCTTTTAAATAATATGGCTTGATGATAGAAGAGGATATATTTTTAATGACATAAAAAATAAATATAAAAATTTTTATCGTTTAAATGAAAAAAATTTTTTAGGGGTAGTGTTGCCAGACGTCCCGTATTTCCCGGGACGTCCCGTATATTGGGCTTAGTTTAAATATTCCTGCGGAATTACTCTGTCCCGTATTCGAATCGTGCTCCGTTTTTTATTATTAAATCGATCTATCAACGCTAGCCGCTATGATAACCAGAAAAAAATGTTTATTTTTCTGATTATTATGTTTATTGATCAATCAGTATCAGTCATTCAGTCTACTTACATTTCATACAACGCGTCGCGATTCAAACTGGTGTTGAATATGGAGTCGTCATCGCTCATCTCGACCAGCCTTCTGTGCAGTTCATCCACGTAATACTCCAGCAGGGAGGGCAGGTGTTCAGACCTCTGCTGGTGGTCCAGACACAGGTACATAAGGTACGCCAGGTCCAGCGCTGGGGAAGCGTAGCGAACCAGTTGGAAATCTACAAGGTACATCTGGAAAAAACGTAGAAAATATCTTGATGTTGTAAATACATGATCTTGGACAGAGCGTCTTTGAGGAGCTTCCTCTCATGTACCTACACTTAGATTGTGGAATGAACTACCTGCCGAGGTTTTCTCTAAGGATTACAGCATGGGTTGGCAACGTGCACGTGACACCCCGAGTGTTTCAGGCGTCCATAGGCTACGGTAGCCATTTACCATTGTCGTAGCGTAAAAAAATACCAGATTAGTTGTGTTAGAAACATTGTTAAATGGTTGACTTTATGGTGTACGCAACACTTGATATGCTAAGTGCAACAATTAATGTGCTAAGAGAACGAGCCTACATTTGTTACCGGTGTTTTATATCATCGAAGAGTTAGTCTACAATTACGTAAGTTCTGTCTACGACTTTGTTCCCCACGACATAGTGACGATAGGTACCTAATGGGGACAATAAGTAGGTTTTTGCAAGATTTTATAATAATTGGTTAAGTGGTTATGCATAGAAACACTCATTTAACTTTTCGATTAGGTCTAACACTTTAACAAATGGCCTTACTTCTGATGGCCGCGGATTCGATTTCTCTCACGGTACCGGTGTATTGTATCGGTAACCACCCACCAGAACTCACCCTTTCCTAAGTACATACTTAGGAAAAAATATATCTAAGTATTTATAAAAAAAATCAAAACCACGCTACTGCCAGGTGACTATTTTTCATCTTCAGCAAATAGGTTTGAATCTATGATTTGATAGGAATTTGAACTGGACAAATAAATACCTGTTTTTTTAGATATTTGCCAAGGTACTGCTCCTCAACCCACCTTCAGAATCGCAGCTGACTACTACCCTTCATAATACAAGTATTTTAACCAACTTAGAAGTTTAAAACAAGAGGCAGTTGGTCATCTTGACTGCTGGCTAGGGGACCTTTATCACAAGCAGTAGGACCATTCCATCATCACCAATCGAAGATATCACATACCTCAGCAATGTCTCCATCAACATATCGAAACAGAAAGTTGTTGGTCCAGCAGTCGCCATGACAAATCACTGCTATCGGCTCTCTGGGTGTGACGAGTTCCACCATCCTCTGGAAGAAGGTGTCCTCGCTGCAGAACTGTCGTAGCTTGTTCAGGTACAGCTCCTTGTCCTCGGAGTTCTTCAGCTCCTCCTCCACCATGGCTATAGCGTTCTGTCCAGCCTCATGGTAGTAATTTTTGTAATATTCTTCGTTTTCTGATACGAAAAATACTAGAAAAGTGTATAGTTTTTGATAAATAAGTAAATAAACTTGGACATATCACACAGCGCCATCTATTGTCAAACTAAGTTCAACTCATATTTGACTTTAAATATGTTTTGTAAGAAAATAGAAGAAACGTCTAGATCTATACAAAATACAAAATTGCAAACAGACATACATATTTTAGTAGCGCTGGAATCGAACCTGCCTCCCTTTGCAAGTGAGACTTATGTAGATTCAAAGAGGCCGACTGTTATTTGTTATTGGGCCAAAAAAGTTGCTAATATATAATAAACCCGGACAATTGACACAGCGCCATCTAGTCCCAAGCTAAGCAGAGCTTGTGTTATAGGTACTAGACAACTGATGAGATGTAATTGATTATTTTTGTATCTTTATACATATATTACTAGCTTTTGCCCGCGGCTTCGCTCGCGTTAATTTATCCCCTTACAGGTAGATATTGCAAAATCCTTTCTTAGCGGATGCATACGTCATAACGTCTACCTGCATGCCAAATTTTAGCCCGATCCGTCCAGTGGTTTGGGCTGTGCGTTGATAGATCACTACGTCAGTGACCTTTGAGTTATATATATTAAGATTGATAGAACACTCAGACAAATACACACACTCATAAATACCAAATGTTTGTCCGTGTGAGGAATCGAACCCGCGGCCATTAGAAGCAAGGCGGTGTGCTAAACCACTAGACCATAAATGTTTGTTACCCTCATGCGTAAAGAATATTATAAATAGAGAGAGATAACATTGTGAGTAATGTTATCTCTCTCTAAAGTATTCCGTAGTAAAGAAGGGGATTGTTAGTAATATGGACTCATAACCCATGACCATATTACTAGCAATGTACCATGTTAGGTTGACCTCCACGCGGTCCCCCCTGGAAACCATCGTGATAAATTCCTGGCGAATTTGTCACGATGGATATTATTAACAATGCTCACTACTGACATGTTATATGAGAGGAGAAGGGTATTGTGGAGAATGACTTAACCTCATGTTCATCTTATCATCCTCCACTGGTGCCCCGCCAGTGTAAACCGTTAGCGCAAACGAGTGTACCATTCCATTATCATCTATAAAAAAAACTTTCCTCACCCTCCGATATTCCATCCTTGTCATTCAACAGCTCATAAAAAACCTCCGGATTATGATATTTCATAGCCAAAGACAAGGCGTGGAACTGCGACAGATGTTTTAAAACAAAATAACATTGCTCTATGCTCAAACCTTGCCTTCTATCAGGCATTACAAACTCGTGTTGCTTCAAATCCTTGAGAATAACCAAATCACTCTTAGCTAAATAACATTTAGGTATAGATTTGAATGGATTTTTTAATTTCCTCCACGACAATTGGAAGCAGGATAGTGCCGGCCAAATTTTGTTGTAAAACCCTACTTCGTTGCAGAACAATTCGTCGCTTTTAAAAGCTTCTTTCATTAGTATGCTTTCTGGTAAACGTTTGTAAATAATAGAGCTGTTCCAGGACTCGTTTTTTTCGCTGGAGCCGTCGGGTTCTGTGTGTTTGCGAACTCCTTTTAAAGATATTCGGTAAAGCATTGAAGTGTAGTTGTCTCCCCTTTTGGACCCTGGGGCCCCCTGTAACAAGAGTAAGTAGTGGGGCCCATGTCGTTAAATCATAGTCGGACAGATATAGAAACTCTGTCTTAAAATTTATACCCCACCCCCTTTCCTGCGAGAGTAAATATAATATATAAAATTTTACGGCTTGATCGATTTTGATGAAATTTTATAGGTCTATTCATAGGTCTGAGAATAGGTTTATAACTATTTTTATACCCCTAGGTGTTAAAGGTGGTTCGGCTCACCCGAAAAACAATTATTTCGCTTTATCGACATTTTTTTTTATTTTATTATGATTTAGCATCGAAAAATACATACAATTCTAAATTTTCACCATTGTATTACCAACCCTTATTTTTTAATATTGATTTTAATTTATAAGGCAAAACAACGTTTGCCGGGTCAGCTAGTATAATATAATATATGTAGTATAATATATAATATCAACTGATATAAATACCTTTTCTTTGATAATACACACATAAAATATGTATATAGAATACACCCAGACCGATACAAAACTATATACATGATTTTGTGCCGTGCAAAGAATCGAACCCGCGACCATCGGAAGTAAAGCAGTATGCTAAATAGGTAATCCACCGAGGCTGTCAAATAACTTTCAACTCCTTAAAACAGTCTTCTTCGTTGTTATTTTTAAATAAAAAAGAAGTGTCTGAAAGTGTATTCTATGAAATAAAAAAAGTTTTTTAAATCCGTTTATAAACGTTTAAAAAAATAAGCATTGAGAACCTCTCTTCCTTTTTGGGAGTCGGTTAAAAGTTAATTAATCAACGATTTTTCCGCGACCCCGATGCAAACATTCATGAATAATGTTTAATCGGAATGCGCCCCGTTGGGGATCATTGACACTGTAAATTTATTAATTAATAGAGGGGGACAGCGCGTACGCAGTCCCCACTACCAAAAATTTCGCGTCCGAGTTATCCACATTAGGGATAATCGCAGGGGTCAACCCAACCGCAGTGCAATGGGAGGGTCTCACCCTGGGGGAACCGCCTTGTTGATCACGGTATCCCCTACGCCAGGTAAGTATGATTTCATTTTCTTGAACCGACGAGGTCATTCGCTGGAAAAAAATCTTAATAGCGCGTTGTAGAAATTTCACACAAATATCTAGTAGCGCCATCTAGTGCATGTTGTATGAAACTATAAGTTCTGTAGAAAGCGATGCGTTTCTCAACTAAAATATTGCTAACGCCATCTAGTACATACTGTTTGAAACTACAAGTTCTGTAAAACGACGAAGCGTTCCGTTTCACCTGCAATATTTTTGTTATCAATATTGTTTTAGCATTATTATTGTTAATAATTATTACAAAACAAATTTATCTTAGTTTTCACTGCGTGATATAATCGTAATTACGAATGAATGTATTTAACGATAAAAATAAAAATAGGTTATTCAATTATAATCCTTCTGTAAGTTGGTAATTCAGATAAAAATAATTTTGTTGTACCGACCCTTTTGGGATTAAGAATTTCTAGTAGTCTGGTTTTAGTTTTAGTACTTTTTTATTCTATTTTATGATAATGAAAGTCGGTAACCGCATTATGCTACTATATACTCCATTTGATTTGATATTAATAGTATGATTAATAAATTACATAATTAAAAGTTTAAGATTCGATCTGCGTTGTGAACAAAGAAAATATAGGAACATGTTGCCTCGGAGAAACTTATAAGTTACCTACTCTGTAACTGTCCCGGAGACAAAATTGACGTTTCCGATGTTGCCAGATTTTTGCATGTTTTCAATAGGGTTGTGGCACTATCGAAAATTAATATTGATTACCCATTTTTATAGGTTATTAAGAAATAATGTGTGATGTATGTGTTTATTTAAAACGCATTAACACAAAATTAATAAAGTAAATATGGGTATTAACACAGATAATATAATATTACATAGTATTATCTAACGTAAATATATGGTTGTTGTGTCAAAATATTTTTTTTTTTCCCCTAAAATGGCCGTTACTCTTGACCAACTGCCTTTCTTTATAAAACAAATTACCTTTTTATTGAGTCATATAAAAGAAACACCTATTGAAAATATTTAGCAGTTTGAAAGAAAAATAATGTTTTTTTGTAGTTTAATATTGTAACTATTACTATTTGTACGGAAACGACAAAAATGTATTTTTATGCTGTATAATACGACGATACTATTGGAAACAATAGTATATGTACGTAAATTTAAAAATTCCGTTGTGGAAATGTCATTTACAGCTTTAAAACTAATGTTATTCTTTTCAAATGAGCTTGTAAGTTTTTAAATCCAAATTTGGGAGAATGGAGTGACCAACATATGCTATTGTAATTTTGTCAAAAGAAAATAGTCTAATCAGTGTTCCTAATCCGAATAGACCAGTGCCCACAAGGGCTACTTGTAGAGACTTTCTTGTCCATGAGTATGACGGTATCACATGAATCGAACGTGCAATATCAAAGTTAACAAGAAAATCATTTGTAACTTACCTCAAAACTCTGCAATGTTACATCAGGATAATCATCCTTAATGAGGTCCTGTAGGAATTCAAGTGTAATTTCAGTCATATTTCCACAGCCTGCTGTCTGCTGTGACTCGCAGATGGGTACTAAGTACTTGCAATATAGGTTGGGAACTCTCGTTACTCACCTACCATATTATACATGATGTTACAAAAAATCAGATGAAATTTACATTCCTCATATGTACGTATATGAAGAATTGTACAATAATAACGAACTATTGAGCTGATTTCGCAGAAGTGTACATGTATAATACATATAAACCTTCCTCTTGAATCACTGCATCTATTGCTAAAAGCTTCATTAAAATCCGTTGCTTAGTTTAAAAGGTCTAAGCGAACAGACAGCGAAAGCGACTAGATAAAAACCCAGGACAATTTACACAGCGCCATCTAGTGCCATGTTAAGTAAAGCTTGTGTTATGAGTAACTGATAGGTATAATTAAAAACATTTATTGTGTAAATGCATAAGTAATGTACATATAGAAAACAACCACCCAGATAAATACAGTCTTTTTTTTATTGGGGATTGTAGACTATTATCAGTTGTAACACTGCGACGTGTATAAATGTATTGTGTTCGCCCTTTTCACTCACACTCATACAAATATTTGTACCGCGCGAGGAATCGAAGCCGCGACCATCGGAAATAAATCCAATAAAAATCCTACTAATATTATAAACGTGAAAATAACTATGGATGTTTGTTACATTTTCACGGAAACTGAACGGATTTTGACGTATTATGCTTATTTTATGTTTTTAACAGTAATATAGCTTATGCATCAGAATAACATATAGGCTATATTTTTTATTGAAATTTAACGCGAATGAATCCGCGGGCACAGATAGTAAATTTATAATTCTATATTTACGTACAACTAAAAATATTATTCTGTGTAATTTAATAACGGAATGCACGTAAATTTAGTAGATAATATAATTTTAAAGTAATATGTAAATAATGCTCCCCCTGTATATAGAAGTGGTAATATTGAATTGTTACTGTGTTGGGGTCGCAGTGATTGAATAATGCCGCCGCCCCGGTCGTTACCATTAAATGGTAAGTACTAAATTGTTATTTCGCCTTCCCACTTGCGTAACTTTGTTCCAGAAGCAATTATTGTCATACTGTTACCTATGAATAATATTGTAGCCATCCATTGGAAACTTATTTTACTTAATGGCTGACAGTTTATTAATGTATAGTCTGCTTTTTTAGTTTTATTTATCCTTATAGAAAAGGCAAAATATCTAAGCTCATACAGCTGTTGTCTTCAGGGGGAAGGGGATTGTCAGTAATGTGGACTCCTTGACCCATTACTAGCAATGTACCATGTCAGGACCTCCACGCGGTTCCCCCTGGAAACCATCGTGATAAACTCCTGGTGAATTTGTCACTATGGGCTGACTGATCTGACCGCTAGCGTAAACCGTTAGTGCAGGCGGGTGCACTATACCATTATCATCCGTAAAAAAATAAAAAAAAAAGCCGGTGTCTTCAGTATTATTTTTGTATTTTAGTTCTTTTTACATTCTTCAGATATCTTCTACTGTAGAGATAATATATTCATAAATTGCTTTATAAGTTTCTTGGGTTTTCAATAAAATCTGTATAGTGCGCGGGATATTAAAATCCTTATAAATGCACATTAAATTGTCAATTAAGAACTTTTAATCCCGGAGACTAAATTGACAGTTGTAAATGTCAAATTTTCAAATAATGTTACCACATACAGCGGGGTAGTGGTGCGCTTACGATACCGATTTGTTTAATCGGAAACTTTTATTTTAGCATATTAGTTTTAAACCTTTTGAATGATGTATCCGCAACAGAATTTAAAATGTTACGTACATATTGTGTTTTCATTAGTGTCGTCGTATTATACAGCATAAAAATACGTTTTTGTCGTTTCCGTACAAATAGTAATTTTTACAGTATTAAACTACAAACCAATATTTTTTATTTCAAACAACTAAATATTTTAAATAGGTGTTTCTTTTATGATATATGACACTATAAAAATGACTTTGTTTTATAAAAAAGGCAGTTAGTAAAGACTAACGGCCATTTTAGGGAAAAATAAAAGAATATATTTTTATACAATAACCATATATTTATTAATACCTATACCTACATTATTAATTTTGTGTTAAGAGTTTTAAAAAAACACCCACACATAATTTATAAAAGTGGGTAAAAAGATTAATTTCCGATAGTATATTTTTAAAAAATGGCAACATCGAAAATGTCATATATTTATTAAAAAACAAGACTAGATTATTAATTTTGTGTTAAATCTGCAGATATTTTGAAGAGGAAAATTACACATATAACGGTTGTAGCCCACTTATGTATAAACGAAATACATATCTCTAATATAAAGCATACATTCTATCCTGAAGAGATAAAAACTATCGTTTCCAAGAGTACCCTTTAATTTTTGCCCCTGCCGGGTCTAGGTAGAGAATTTTGATGAAGGACGAGCACAATAGATCTAAAAAGATCGCAGTGCTACAGGTCTAACCATATGTGGCGAATTAATTATAATCGCGCGGCAACACCGTTGCCTAGTTACGACAGAAGAATAATATAACAAGCCTGTCATTCGAGACCGAATCACTTTCTTGTACATACCTATATATTCATTGTAAATATTTCGTAATTATAAATATGTACATAACAACAATCTGGACTCATCAAAAGTTCAAGAACACAACATAAACATAAATAATAGCGGTAACAATATAGACGCTAAACATATAACAATAGCCCAAAACTCTCATTAACAAAAAAACAACACATTTCCGTAATTTGAATCTAACAATAAGTTATTTAGAGCAATTTAACATAACATTATAACCGTCTGCAAAATTGAAAAAAATACGTTACTGTTTTGTAAATTCAAGTTCATATAAACTTACTTGAAACGGAACGTAAATTGTTGTTGAAATGGAAGTTGACGTCTATCTGTGTCACTCTGAATGACATTGACAGTCATATAATAAACCAAAAATTCGTTCTAAATATAACTATTATTTTTTACAAAACCTATTTATCACACAAAAATAATAAATATTAACATAATACAAGGAAACATCTTGAATAATCCCCAAGTTTCTTTTATTGGTAATTGTTATGCAAAATCTTAAAAGTTATTTTTTTTATAATATAATAATCTTACAAGTTGACTGGAACTAGTCACCATTAAAAATATTGGATGTTCCGAACGTTCCTACAAATCGCGGATTTTCGTTTTCTGTCCTGTCAAACGTTCGAATTTTTCATTGCATTTTCATTTATTATTTTATCGTTCGCGAATATTTCTTGTACTGTTGTACAATTATAAAAAGACTGTGATAACGAAATTTATTATAGGAAAAATGCCTATCGACCAAATACAGTACTCTGAGAGATACACTGATGACGTTTACGAATATAGGTAAGGCAATTCTGTTTTTAAATTAATCAAAATTATTTGTACATATTTCATTCAGAATACTGTTATTTATTTGCTAATCCACACCTATATTAAAGCAAGCAATATTTTTTTTAATTACATTTTTTTTTATGTTTTGTTGGACTATCAAACAGCTGTAGTTTTTTAAATATATTAATTGTAAATAGAAAGAATAATAGCAGTATTTCATAAACTGTTGTTTGTGGTATATCTATGTATGAGGGTCCATAATTTTATCCAAGGACGGGATAACAAGAGTATTTTTTTAATGATAATGGAATGATGCAACCACATGAATGATTATGATAACCAGTTCCGAGGTTTGCCACTTATAAGGGTGGCAGGTACTAGAACTCATTCATTCCGTTTAAAAGTGGGGAAGGTATTAGACCTGTTTAAAATAAGTAATTTTAAGTGATACAAAGGAAATATATATATATATATTTATTAATATGGGTACAAATACCTGCCCTGCTCATAATGTGTTAAAATGAATATGATGTCAGGGTGACAGAGATAGCCCTAAATCTTGTCAGTATAGCCCTAATGGAAATAACAATAAGTCAATCACATCGGTTTTGACTGAGTCAATCACTCCTTGTTCTACTCAATTCTAACTTGTCTTTAAAAACTGATAATTGTAATGTTGCACCAGTACGAAGGACAATTATTTATTCAGATGAATATGGTAAGGGTCTGGGCCGTTCATTATCAGAATCAACATGTCATAAATAATTGTCTTCCTGGTGCTTCATTGCCTAATATTTTAAATAAGGTGGTTAATGGTATATGATAAGTTAACCACATTAGTCATTGCTTTAGGCAACTGTTTATATGTATTAAACCCATTAATATTGCTGAGCTGGGCATAGGTAAAATAATATTATGTGCATTTCCTTACTGTCATTCTCTGACCATTGAACAAAATAAGTTCATATATTATATTAATAATTTAATTTATAATATGACATGTCGCCCATCTTTTTATTTTTTGATAGTAACAAATTTGTTACAAACTTTTGTATGACTGGAGATGACTTCATGCTCATTTTATCATCCTTCACTGGTGCATATTTACAAAAATTTAAATATGACTGCAGATTTAAACTGCTGAAAAGACATAATACTCGGCTGTGAATTAATTATTCAATTGTTTTTAGAAGAAAATAATATAGATGTTCTATGTTTAACTGAACATTGGCTCAAAGTGGCAATATGATGTTCAGCTTAAACAATTATAATATTGTCAGCTGCTTTAATAGAAAAATAGTAAATAGAGGAGGTTCTATGATATTGGTGAAAAATAATATAAAAGTAAAAGAACGTAGTGACCATCTTTCTGTTGAATGTTGTATGAAATTTCCTGTGTGGAACTAGACAATTATATAGTTATATGTGTTTAAACCTCCAAATAGTGATTATAATTTATTTGAAGAGGTAATGGAGGGTATTTAATATTAACAAAAAAATTATAGTGTGTGGTGATTTCAATGTTGACATTTTATCACATAATACCACAAAAACTAAATTAATCACATATCCATCCATACCTCATCATGATATTTTATCATCCTCAACTGGTTCGCCGCTAGCATAAACTGTTAGTGCAGGCAAGTATTATGCAAATGATGCATTACAATTATTGTCTTTTCTATCTGCAAACAAACTTTTACAGATTTCTTCAATATTGGAATATAAATCTATCAGTATTATTAACAAAACAAAATTTTCAGAATCCAAAGGGAATTCTTAAAAGTAGAAATATATTATTGATTTATATGCTCATCCTAGTACATTCGTAAATTATGTAAAAAGATACTTAATCTAGATATGGCATAATCTAAATAAAAAAATTAAAATAATGATAAGGACAATAACAAGGAACAAGGAAGGATTCCTTAAGGAACAATGGCCGACAAACACTTGCTACAATTACTAAAACATTTAAACAATTAAATTTAAAAAATACAAAATTGATGCTGTTAAAGTTATTAACACAGACAGTTTTTCAATTTAATGAAACCAGGAGAAAAAACTGTGGTAGGTAATTATTATATCTATCTTACCAGTATTGAGTAAAGTGTTTGAAAAAATTATGCTCAATCAAATGCTGCTTTCGACAAAAGCTGCTCTCATTAAATATATAGAAACGTTGAACATGAAACACTTTTGCTCAAACTTGAACATTACGGTATTAGATATGGCTCACATGATGAAATCCTAAATAATAGAATGCAAGTTGTCGAAATAAATGGTGTAAAGTCTGAAGGAACTAGTATTAAAATGGGGCAGTGGCCCAACATAAATGATCTTCCTTATATGGTAGAAAACAATATCCTTCATTAGTATTCAAAGATCGACATATTGATGTGAGAAGTAAACGGTGCTCTTTCTTATGTTTTAAAAGCCTAATAATATGTGAAGACACCACCGGAGATTCAAAAATTGTTGGACGCTATTAATTTTGTGGATGGTATTTCTAGGTATCACATTAGATTGTTGCAATGGCCCTACTTTAGTAGTCTGCCGCTCTGTATGCAATTAACAGACGTGGCAACCTAAATGAGTTATTTCCATAGCATTATGTCGTATGGTATTTTGTTTGGGGCAAAGCAGCTGATATAAATACAATAGACTGGTGTCCAACATACATTACATTAGATCGTTCCTTCCTTAAACGCCCATAACATCACACCATTTAAAGAAATGTTTATCACTTATCCATTCGCACCTCAGTTTGTTTGCCATACCAATAAAAAAAAGTTTAATTTTCAGACATGTCCTCCTTCCACCTGATGTAGAATCAAAATATGACTATTCAAAAGTGCTTGTAATGAGTTTATTTTAAAGTCCCCAAGTCTCATCTCATGACGGAAACTGAATGGAGAAATCTCGGTGTACAACAGAGTCCTGGCTGGCTGCACTTCTTGATGATCCTTCCTTCTACTTAATCTAGATAGGCATAACCTTAAAATAATGATAAGGACAATAACAAGGAACAAGGAAGGATTCCTTAAGGAACAATGGCCGACAAACACTTATACATGTGCTCCTCTTCAGGAGACCAAGAACAGATATTCCAGCACCCGTTAACGGACTGGATAGTAATACAAACTCGGCTGTTCAAGTATGATTGCGTCCACGTAATGTTATATTTCAAATGATAACATGTTGAAGACCTGGATTGGAAATCTATTACTCATAAAGGGCATTTTTTTTTATTATTATTATATACATATATGTGTGCTATAAAAAAGTGATTTCTCATATAGGGCATTTACTTTTATTATTATTATATATATATATATATGCTATAAAAAGTTATATATGTGCTATAAAAAGTGATCTAATATAATAGGTCTTGCCTATAATTTAACTCAACATCTGTAGTGTTAATTGCTTAAATTATATTGTTAACTAGCTGTACATGTGACTTCATTCACATGGAAATTAACTTTATTTTTCTAAAATAAAAGCCTAAGTTACTCTTTATTACAACAGCTACCTGCCAAAAAATGTCCCGTCAAAATTGGTCCAGCTATTTCAGAGATCAGCAGCAATAAACTGACAAAAATTGTAAAAAATGTTATTTTGATGTATGTACTGTATTTATATTCATATGCATGTAGTAAAAAACGGTTAGTTCAATATTACAAACAGACACTCCAATTTTATTTATATGTATAGATTACATTACATTTTTTAAAGGATTTCAGTGTATAATTTGATGTAGCTAGATTTATTTCAATTAAAGTGCCCACGGGTTATTTCCTGATCCCAACGTGTAAATTTACTTTTGCCGAGTGACCCACCGATGGGCATGAGGTCTTTAACATGTTAAAACTTATCCTGTTTGTACAATTTGACATATTTAAAGTAATTTTATTGTACATTGGAGTTATCAAGTTTATTGTTATACTTATTATTAATATTACTAAATATATTTGTATATGTAGCAAAAGGAGCTGTTTTTTATAAGAATGAACAAGATAGGGAAATATCATTACATAGTAGAAAAAAAGGTCGCTGTCTGTCCGTCCCTATGTATGCTTAAATCTTTAAAACTATGCCACGGATTTTGAAGTGGTTTTTTTAATATAGATCGAGGCGTTTATATGTATAAACACCCATGCGAAGCTGGGCGAGTATCTAGTACAGTATAAAATGTACAGTTACTCAATGTACATGGAGAAGAAATGCAGATTTTTTTTTTTTATACTAAACTAAGTGTTTAAAAAATGTTTAATGAATATAATATATATTTATAGTCTTTGACTATGTATATGAATTTTGATGATGTTAAAAGTTAAATTATCTGGTTATATGTAGAAATCTTATGCACGATTTTTTTTTATTTCTGTCAAAAATAAAGTGAAGGAAAACTGTTTTTCTCGGCTTTCTCATATATATCTGTGCTATAAAATTTATCTAATATAATAGATCTTATTTACGACTAATTTAACTCAACATTGTCATACGTCTGTATTTTAATTTCTGAAATTATATTATTAATCAAATAAATTGTTTGTAAGAAATACGAGTTACAGAAATCATTGATAAAAATGTTTTAACCGTTTATTATGGTTGTGTACAATTGTATTAAAAAAAATTCAAAATATCTTTATTCATTTAGGTCTATTACAGACTCTTATGATATGTCAAATCTACCGTAAGTTCGGAATGACTTCGAGATGAGAAGAACTGACAAGAAGCTCAGCTCGTATTTTTTTTTAATGTATGAAGTTGATATACATTATATTATATACTATTGTATTTACGTTATTGTATAAATTATATAAATAGGATTTTTACATTTATCATTACTAAGTTTTGGATGGACGTTTGTGACCTCTGGACATCATTGTGGTTGACCTGACCTCATGTTCATCTTATCATCCTCTACTGGTGCCCCGCCAGTGCATACCGTTAGCTCAGGCGACTGCATATGCTCCATTACCATACATAAACAATGCTGTTAGCTGCAGCTGACCTTTATAACTTCCCCGAACGATAGGGGCGAGTGTAGATGGCACTCCAAACCGGATACGACTCTGAAGTCGAGGACTGATCCTAGGGCACCGCTAGGTGTTCGAAGATCGGCTCGTCGGAAGTTCGATCCTCGTTTAAATTGAACGGGGATCGATCAGAGAGGATGACCGTGATGCCGTTGGTGTTGAGCATGCTTATGTAAAGCGGTAATGACATTTGCCGAAAGTTAGTTCCATACACTAAATATGAGTATGTCAGTTTTTGTGATAATTTGCAAACTATTTCCAATGATTTGTTCTATCATTTATGTTAAGTATGTTACATTTTGCATGACTGTTTTTTTTACTATATGTAATGTTAGAATAAGATATGAAAGATTATATTTTGTTTTTAAGTATGTACTGTAATGTTTTACTGAGGTAGTCTACCGACTTTGTACAGTCGTACCTGATTGAATCACACTAATTCCATTCTTATAATAATAATAATAAACAATTCACACAGCGCCATCTAGACCCAAGTTAAGCTAACTAAAGCTTGTGTTATGCGTACTAGATAACTGATACAAATACCTAGCTGATACATTTCTTAAATACATACACATTATACATAGAAAATACACAGACCGATACAAACAATCATAGTCAGGAATACAAATGTTAGCAATGCGAGGAATCGAACCCGCGACCATCGAAAGTAAGGCGGTGTGCTAGGCCACCGAGGTCGTCGAGTCTTTTTAGTCTCCCTTTCCTGTTGTTCACAGTCAGTCACATTTTAAGATTACGTGTTTTAATACAAATATTAATATGTGACGTAGCAAAGAATTTATTTATTCTAGAATAGAAATTAGAAATAGAAATAATCTTTATTCTAATAAACTCAATACAAGCACTTTTGAGTAGTCATATTTTTTATTCAAACACTCATTTGCAGACTCGATACAAGAATAATGAGCAAGAAACTTGTTTGTTGCTCTTTTGAACAGATGCTTTTTGAAGTAATGACACAATAACAGGGAAGAGGCATGCGATAATCAACATAAAAACCGCTACGCACTCATTCTTAGTGCAATCCAGATAGTATTGTCAGCGCTATGAATTTTAAGTGTTTTTTTCTACAAGATATATTATGTGTAAGGAATTGTATGTCTAAATTTTACACACATTTGTACAAGAATGAATATGTTTTAGTATTCCAATAATCTGGCCCTGTACGAAAATTCTCGAATGTTTGTCTTCCCGGATAGGAGTGTTTCAGGCACATATAAGAGAATATTATATACACACCATCCAATACAACAAAATTGTTCCTTATTCATATAAAAATCATCGTCCGATGTTGAAATTGTATAAGTATACTCGGTATGTCTATATTGTTAGGGTTCACATCGATATTGTCGAAAAATCTGATATTTTATATTAAAAGAAGGTAGTTTCATTATTACTCGGTATCGTTAAACTAGTTGCATATAACCCCCACTCATATCTTCTCTGTATAAAAGGGAGGGTTTTTGTAGGCCGCGGCATTCGGTCTTTGAGCACAGGATGTGATGGTTGTATTTTAATTGCTAAAGTGAATTGTGCTAGAGACATAGTTAAATTAATGTTATATAGTTGTTATTTTATTATAATACATACTTTTACTAGTACATAGAGTTGATATATCTAACAATATATATAATAATTTGTTATCCATTTTTATGCTCCTAAGAGATAAGGGTGGCCCACACCAAATTGTTTTATATTATTGACTAAACTTAAACTAAACTTAAAAATACCTAGAACCTTAAATTTCACCCTTTTACCATCAACCCCTATTTTTTAATAATAATGCTGATTTATATGGCAAAACAATGTCAGTTATGATGTCATATTGACCTCCACGCGGTTCCCTCTGGAAACCATCATGATAAATTACTTAGTGAATTTGTCACGATGGGCTAACTGACCTGACCTCATCATATGCTCTAGTGCCCTGCCAGCGTAAACCGTTAGCGAAGATAAGTACACCATTCCATTATCCATATATATACATTAAAAAATATATAGTTAATATACATTAAATATATTTTTTGTAGTATTAACTACAAAAAATATAGTTTTTTTGTAGAACGAGTTTTTTTATAAATCGAGTTAAGATATTATTTTATAATATCTACAACTAATTTGCTACGGGACATTATCAATGAAACCAAGTGGATACTATGTTGAATGTTTATTTGGATTTTATTAACTTCTAAAACATCGTAAAATATACAAATAAATGCTCAAGTAGTACACTTTATAGTTGCCAATAATGAAAATAATAAATGATTTCTAAACGATACTACCCATACTACTCAATAAACAAATACAATAAAATTATTAACAATATATTAGTGTAAATCAATTAAAATTTTCTTTCGTTAAAATAATATAATTGTGCTTCTTTTCTTATATACTATATTAGCCAAATTAACATTAAAATATTAAGTATACAAATGCCATCGCCTCGAAATTTCAATAGGTGTTGCCAGTAAAAAAGTTTAATATACAACACAGTCAAAATTTCAATACGAAACGACGACTAAAAATATATATAAAAAAAAACCATGATATGGTTAAATCGGAAGTCCTTATCGTAAAGTTAGCTTCAACAGATTACTTAACATTCGTATAAAAGTCATCTCTCCAATATATTATTATCTAAAAGGTAGGCAGCATCTTACTAGACACACGTTACAAAATATCGAAACATTAGAATGGGACATAAAAATCGTCACATCCAATATTATACTAAGTAAAAATGTGTCTTCATGCCGTTGTAATAGTGAAAAAGTTGTGGATACATGTCATTAGTCTAAGAAGAGTTTCTACTAATCCAGTGTTGCCAGATCTCCAGTTATCTGGATAATCCACTAATACTCGTACAATTACAAATTAAAACGTACACGCATTACTGTCACTTGTTTGCTATTAAGAAAAATTACAAAAAATGTTACAATGGTCCTCAATTACTACCATTCCTACCAAAACAATCTGGCAACACTGATTTCTGACAGTCCGGAACACGGAGGCAGAAGGAAATGAAACGGTCACACTACCTTGCGTAGAAGCAGCTTGATTAGTAATATAGATTCTAACAATACATTCGATAACTCGATAATATATAACATAGACAAACATGCATATAAGTAACATGCTTCATATTGGTTTGGCTACATCTACACTACGCGCAAAATGGGTAACGCATCCTTTAACTACGGCCACAAAGATGGCATACATCGTATTGAAGATTGTAGATCACTAATATAACAATAAATTTTCCACTAAAACGTAGGCTCCAATCGTTGGATCATAGCAAATGTTCGGCTGCATTGCCAGTTGCAAAAATGTCTCAAAACATGGTTTTTAAAGCTAACTGTGATACTATTAAAGCTTGCTGCTCCTTGTTCGTTTAAGCTGTCTCACAAACGATTATGATCGTCTCCAATATTTGTTTTAGCTCAAACAATTGTAGACGGTGCATTTTTATCGTGATATTTTATACACTTGTCAGTATGTTTACATACAGCGTAAAATGATATGAAAATTTACAAGAAGTGATATGATACATAATGGAGATTGTACTAATAAGATATGTACGTAAATGATTAATAAATGTAAGGTTTTTAACATGTTTAACGATTTTGGTACAATTTCTAAATATAAATGCTCGTTAGATGTCTTTTTCGTTGGATAGCGTCGTCCTGGCAACACTGCCTGAGACCGGGACACAATTAGAAGATACAGTGGTGTTGCCCCATGAAAATATATAGTAGATAGTAGAATGACTCAATCACGATACGTACTGCAACAATGGCATCCCCTTATTTATACAATAAGCGTTGCATACGATAATCGTTATTTTTACCGACAGCTATCATGAACTAAACCGAGATGCACATGGGTAGTTCTATTTAGCTGGTCCTTTACAGGCTTCCAATTATATAAGTGTATATCCCGCGCCCGAACCAGTTAGAGAAGCCTGATGGTTAGAAAATAATGAATGAAATGTTAAAGCTTTTGTATAATAAGGTAGAGTAGTTACAGAGTGCGAATTTGTTAGTGATGAGTCGAAAATTAGTATAGAAGTATATAATATAGCATTTTTATACAATACAATGCTATAGAAAGTTTTCAAGCAGTATTCTTTGGTCTCAAACAGTGTTGCTAGTGCGAAAAATCATTTGGAAGCGGACTGCGTTGCAATTTGTAACAATGCAGTATTCCCGCTATAAGCACCACCTTATGCGCGTTGTTTATGCATATTACGGCGTTTCGTTATTCCTTGCTAGCTGGTTTTCCGTTGGTATATTGTGGAGGAGAGTTCGCCGTCTGATTTTGTTGATCCTCAGTCATAACTGATACTAGTTCTTCGACAGCGCGTCCCAAGTCATCTGCGAACAAAAATTGCAAAATATTTAATACTGTTCATTTAATAAACACTGGATCAAATTCTCTAAGTTTTCATTAACGTGTATATTATACAAAATATTATCCTTGTGCTGACAAATCTGGTTCCATTAATTTACTTTAAAATCGAATCATCCTAAACTTTGGTAAATTTGGTATATCGGCGAGTAATAAAACTCCATATACTAACTTAAGTCCTTAAAATATTTTGATAATAATTACTAAAATATAAAGTACTAATTTAAAAAGACAATTTACCTCAAGGTATACGTCCTGTTAGGATTGCAAAAACAGAAAACACACAATTTTAGTGAGAACATCATAAAACAACGAAGACAATCGTGACATGCAAAAATCGTGCAGAAAACAACCTTAAATATCCAAACAAAGTATAAATAACAACGTCGTGAGATAGAAACTATGTTTGTTACTGAAAAATGAAACTAAAACAAAACACACATGTTGACCTTCCGTCTGACCTGCGCAGTGCATGAGCGAGTGCACCGAGTGCGGCGGCGGCGGCGGCCGCTCCATGCCCTCGCGCTCCGCCCCCGGGGCTCCCCAACGGCCTCCGCCATCTTCACGTAAAACTTACATTTAAATATAATGTCCAAATGAAACTACACGGGACCTAGAATTGTGCCCTAAGAAACACCATAATATCGAGCTGTCTTTGGGAAATTAAAAAAATGAATAATAGATATTATTAAGTTTTTATATACAACTGTGCCGAGAGTCCTCCATATGTAACATGTCATAAGTACTAATCTTTTCCACAATAACGTCGTCGCAACAGAGTCGATAGCTTTTCTAAGGTCATTAAGAATGTTAGTACAAAGTGATAATGTTACTTACTGGTTTGAGACTCGTGGTAGAGTCCATTGTGCATTTTGGCTGGCGAATCGGTTGCGAGCTGAGAAGCGGTCACAGATCGAGTTTGCAGAGTGCCAGTGCGGGCTGGTGGTGAACTTTGCGGCTGTAATAGTGAAATAGCGACATTTAAGTTTTGTATATTAACACAGCATTTGCTAACTTTAATTTCACAAGCAAGCATAGTCTTTAAATTAAGTACAAGTATTTCTAAACTGTAAGCTTTACCTCATCAAGCAGTCTTCTAAGTCTTTGCAGCTGAGCTTCTAACTGTCTGTTATGTTCTTCAAGTATTTGCATACGCGCCTCTAAACGGCCTTTATGTTGCCTCAACAAGCGAGCTTCTGCCATCATATCCTGTAAGTAATATTTACTTTAGAATAAGCGAAAAAAAGCTACTTTGTTGTTCTCAATTATTAGTCGCATTTTTGTTCTGTTGGTAGAAAGGACGAGATATATTGAAACATTTATTGTCTAAGATGGAGTGCTGATAATATTATATTACTCAGAATATAATATATTAAATAAGTGTCTCAGGACAACTCACACAGCGCCATCTAGTCCCAAGTCCCAAGCTAAGCAGAGCTTGACGACAAGACAGAACTTGAGAACAACTGATACAAATACATTTAGACCATCGGTAGTAATTACTAACTAGATCATCGGAACCTACTAATGAATAATCGGTACAAAAACCATTACAATTTACTCGCTGACTGGTCTTTACACATATTTGCATACAAAAGTCTACAGTACATATTAAAGTTTTAATCTATTGTTTTAGAGATTCTGTAGCTAATCAACTATTTAAAACTATAACTATTTTTTTACAACAACTATTAACTGCATTATCTATTGTTGACTGGTAGAAAATTCCGCATGGTGTTAAGTCCTTCAAATGTATGAAAGTTAAACAAATTTTAAATTCAAATACTCACTTGGTCAACAGGGGCATTTCGGTTCTCGCTGACGCTCAGTTGTTCCTCAGGCGTGGAGCCGGGTGTTTGTTTTGCTTTCAAACGCTCATATTCGGCTTGCAGAGTAGCGTTCTCTTCTTCCAATTCTCTGGAATAATTAATTGGAACATTTAGAATTTCCTTTACAATAAACAAATTTAATAGTTTATTTTTATTGTCCTTTAAGAGATAAGTTTATTGAATGTAGTTTAGTCAGATTCATATACCAACTTTATATTCAAATAGATAGATTAACATATTAATTAAAAATAAATATCTTTTTAGTTTCTTAACAGTTCTTCTCAATTAAATCTGTATAATGAACTGGACGGTATGGAAAAAAATATTAATATCGTAAGAAGCTCAAGTTCTAAATGTTTTACAGGAATAAATGACAATAACATAGCGTCCACATTCATATGTAACACCTTCCTTAAGATATGATCTTCATTCCTACGCAACAACTAAAAACGCATTTCATTCTTCAAAACCTAAAATACCATAAATTCTCAGGTCGACTTACTTAGACGTTATGCTGAGCTTATGCCTATAAATAATAGTATTACCTTATCATAGCTTCCAGTTCGTGTCTCTGCTCCCGGTGAATGATGGAGACGACCTGCACTGGTGAACGAGGAGCTTCCTCGCCATCACCAGGGCCGCCGCTGCCGTTCAGCGACATACAGTACTGAGCTATCAGCTGGTGTTCTTCATCACTGAAAAGTTGATTATTTATTCAATTACCCATTAATTCTGAAATAATGAACGGTGAATTGATAATGGTATTGAGCAAGGAATTTAGTAGACAGTAAGTATGCAGTAGGTACTGGCGCTAAAAAGGATTTCCATAGGGTTCATAATTGTGTTTAGTGTAGGATTTTACAGATGTATCGTAAAATTTAAAACGTATTTAGTGATTTTATGTAAGCTGAAAGTGTAATTGATTATCTCGATAGATATATGTCTTGTATATACATAGGCGTTCTGATATCTTGAGAGGAAAATAAAATTTCAAGTGTAGTCTCTGGTTCCACGCTTGAACGTGTTTCTGGCATGTGACGCACCTGTCCAGCGTGTGACGTACGTGTCCGGCGTGTGACGTACGTGTCCGGCGTGTGACGTACGTGTCCGGCATGTGACGTACGGGTCCGCTGTGTGACGTACCTGTCCGGCGTGTGACGTACGTGTCCGGCGTGTGACGTACGGGTCCGCTGTGTGACGTACCTGTCCGGCGTGTGACGTACGTGTCCGGCGTGTGACGTACGGGTCCGCTGTGTGACGTACGTGTCCGGCGTGTGACGTACGTGTCCGGCGTGTGAGGTACGGGTCCGCTGTGTGGCGTACCTGTCGGGCGTGTCGGGCGGGCGCGCGCCGCGCTCCACCTGCGCGAGCCTGGTGGCGTACAGCTCGAGGCGCGAGTGCATGTCGTCGACGCCGCCCGCGCCGCCCGCGCCGCCCGCGCCCGCGCCGCCGTGCTGCGGCGACGGCGCCGGGGACTCCAGCGCGTCTCCTGTTATACACACACACGTTAATTGCCAGAAACCATAACCTAAAAAAAAAACAAAAATCCAACTCCACTAAAATATATGGCACTTGATCCGGCTCGAAGGACCAAAGATTGTGGGCGGTATAATGATTGATTAATATAATATCAAGTATTCATACCTTCAAGAACGGTTTGTACGGGCAGATATCCGACGCGTGGGTGCTTCTTGAAGTACCTGGCCGACTTGAACTTATTGCGTAGGGCCCGCGTGAAGTCACGCACGTCCTCTCCTGGTGTCGTCTGAAATCGTATTTCATTTTGCTGTAGATTAAGAAATGAGTATGTAGTTAGATAGTTAATGAGTGAGTAGTTAGATTGTTCACTTTATGTAAGGTTCGACCCAACGACCAAGTAGGTAAGGCATTCTTACACAGCGGATCACGCAAGGTAATCGTTTGACCCTAATAGAATAAGAATGAGGATGAAGAGGAGAATGAAAATGAGGGTGAGGATGAGAATGAGGATGAGAATGAGGATGAGGATGACAATGAGGATGACAATGAGCATGACAATGAGGATGAGGATGAGATTGAGGATGAGAATTTGGATGAGGATGTGGATGAGGATGAGGATGAGGATGATAATGAGGATGAGGATCAGGATGAAAATGAGAATGAGAATGAGAATTAGAATGAGAATGAGGATGAGGATGAGGATGAGGATGAGAATGAGATCATTTTTCTTATCCTCATTTTCATGAATGAGAATAAGAATAATTTATTGCTGCCTATTAAATTACATAAAAGAAATACATTTAAAGGATAATTAAAGGATTCTGCTGTGCGGCGCTGGTCTTAAACCAGACCAATTTTGAAGATAATATAAAAACTATATAAAAAATTTTGACCCTTCAAAAACCCACAACAAATATTAAATGTTAAATACTAACGGTAGTGCAATATTCTTGCATGGGATGTGTCAGCTTATGGTTCTTGGCCTTGCGTCCACTGAAGAAGCACTTCTGGCACATGTCGAAGTTGATGCACTTCAAGCAGCGATATCTGTAACATTATAATAGAATCAGATTAAATTGGGGGGAAAGGTATTGTATGTATATAATGACCTCCAGGTGGATTCCCCTGGAAAAAATCGTGGTAAATTGTCATACATGCTGACACATACTTAACAACATATTTTGAGACAATTTCAAGACAAATTCAATTAGATACAGCTCTATGAGGAGTACAATATCTCTTTAGTGTTTAATCACTTTTTGGGGCACAATCATTAATTACGTGTAATCTTTAAAATTTATAAAAATGAGATTTATTTTTCAATCTTTACAGTACAATCTTCATTTGGGTTACAGTCTCTATTTGGGGTACCATCACTAACTAGGGCAAAATCTCTTTGCCCTAATTACAATTAGTATACGATCTCTTAATTAGGGTATTAACTCTAAATAGTATAAAACCGAGATTTCATGTTTTAATATCTTGAGTGGATTTTTTCTCCGCTTGGGCTATAGTCTCTATTTGGGGTACAATCTCTAATTAGGTCAAAATATATTTTAGGGACGATATCTTAATTAGGGTATTATCTCTAAATATTATAAAAATGAGATTTGTGCCTTCAGTCTTTTAGAAACTTTTTATTCTTTTTTTTTTATTTTCTTACCTGAATCCAATAATGGGGTACTCTTTACAGATGTTGCATTTGGCCTGATGTTTGGCATTCTCAGCGGCCGCCAAACGATGTAGTACCGGCAGCCACACCATGGACTGGGGTTCCTTCTGTAGCCACTGTAGGAAGTGGAATGCTTCTATGTACTGCAGTTGACCGTCTGCGTCGCGTTCTAGAGTCTTCTCTTTTGCGTCTTCTTTTTCTTTCTCTTTGTCTACTGTAATGATAATAACATGATGGTTAAATTACGAGTTATTACTAAATGCCTTTGCAACAGATACAATTGCTTGCATTAAATTGTAAACACTTTTGTACCTGGTTATAATGTAGTTGTTAGTAATTAAAATAATAATAGTATATTAAGGTTTCTTAAGGGTCGGCAACGCGTATGTGACACCCCTGGTGTTTCAGGCGTCAATAGGCTACGGTAACCGTTTACCATCAGATGGGCCGTATGCTTTTTTGCCACCTAAGTGGTATAAAAAAAAAATAGGTATTAAACTATATTCGACAATAATTGTTTCATAGAATTAAAGCCTGAAATTTGAAATATATGAAAGGAAACATTTCTATAAACTTAATTCTTTTTAGAAACTTATTACTTTTGCGAATTAGGGCATAATTTCTAAATAGTATAAAAATGTAAAAGTATTGTATATCTATGTACAATTATAAATAAATAACATAGAGGCAATTTAATGCCGGTGAAATCACGAGCACAGCTAGGATAAAATAATTCTTTAATGGGAATCTCACCAGATTTCCTGTCGAGAGTGCCTCCCCTGTTCTCTTCCTTGGTACCAGCAGAGGCTTGTTCAAAGCAGCTCCGCACTGAAGGCTCGATGTTAGATCCACCGAAAGCAGCCACTTCTCCTAATTGGCGTGGAACCTAAAACATAACATTAGTAAAATTATAAACCATGTTTTCAATTGTACTGTAGAAAATCTTTATAAAAATATCCCTGGACCATTTAAACAGCATCATGTAGTCCCAAACTAAGCAGAGCTTGTGTTATGGGTACTAGACAACTGACAAAAATACTTATATATATATATTCAAACCCTTCGTTTTGCACATCGCTTTACTTCCCATAGTCGCGGGTTCGATTCCACACACGTTGCAAAGATTTGTATTCATGAGTATGTCTGTATCGGTCTGGGTGTAATCTATACATTGTTGTCATTTTGACATGTACATTATTGTCTGTCGTCTAGTACCCATAACACAAAGATCTGCTTAACTTGGGACTAGATGGTGTTGTGTGAATTGTCCTAGGTTATTTATATTATTATTAAGTTAATAAATATTATTATTGATGGAAAAATAGTAGAAAAGTAGGTAAAGCACAGACACATCAAGCAAATTAAAAACAAAATCGGAGTCGTATTGTATCAACACTTAAAGCTAATTTTGGAGGATCGTGGGAAAGGCAAGAGCTTAACTGAAAAGAACGTGTTTTATATTCAATTGGTCCATCGGCAAAGTTTGCATACCTGATGAAAAAAAGCAATTCACAAAATTGTGAAGTATGTGGTACAATTTCAAAATTAAAAGACTCAAATGAAGGTCACATAATAAGAGGATATGATAAATGGAGTAAGAAAGTGACAAGATGGTATCCCAGGGAAGGAAAAAGGAAAAGAGTCAGACCCCACACAAGATGGGATGATGATATTAGGATAGTGGCAGGAGTCATGTGGAACAGAGTGGCACAAGAAAGAGAAGAATGGAAACGATTGGAGGAGGCCTTTACCGATTGGCAAACAGATCTACAGAAATTAAAAAAGATTCAAATAATAGAATAATTATTTCATTTTTATGTTTGTTTTAAAATAATGTATAAGTTAGATCTGAATAAAGGCTATAATAATAATAATGTGGGACAATAGAGGATGTATATCATTTGCTGATGGAGTGTGTCAGGAACGAGAGTCTACGACATGGAATAACGTCAGACCATGAAATAAATATATTAGATGTTGGTGCCATACAAACTGTTTTAGCCGATCCTTCGGGCGGTGTGGATAAGGCAATTTGTTCACTGATGAGGTTTTAGGGTACAATGGGACTGAAATGACAGATGGTACAAAAGTTCCTAAATTTAAAAAGAATTAAAAAACAAAATATTCAATTGTTGAATTAGTATGCTAACCTGTATACAATCGTGAAGAAGAAGACCAAGCTTCCTCTGATCAGCTCGGCACGACGGATCGGCTATCAGACGGAACAAATATCTGTAAAGCAAAGACAATAATATTGAACCCCGTCTGTTGTGTAATAATATACTAATCTATACATATAAATAAAATTGGAGTGTCTGTTTGTAATATTGAAATAACCTTTTTTTACTACATGCATATGAATATAAATACGGCACATACACCAAAAGAACATTTTACAATTTTCTTCTTTTTTCAATTTAATTCTGTTTGTCTGTCTGTTTGTTCCGGCTAATCTCTGAAATGGCTGCACCGATTTTGACGAGACAATTTTGGCGATGTTGATGATGGCTGGTGTAATAAGGAGTAACTTAAGTTTTACTTTAGAAAACAGCTAATTTTTAATATAATTTGATAGAATCACTTAGATTAAAAATATATACATATTTCTAAAGTCTTTTATTTGGATAAGGTAAGTCAGCGGTTCCCAATAACTATGTATAAAGTCTATCTCTGGATATATCTTATACTAGCTGACGCGCAATTGGAAAAGAAACCTTCGGGCATTCATAATAAAGATGAGAATAAGCTATGTTACCTGTATTTTTCTTCCAAATGTCCCTTGCAAAGTAAGACCAGGCCGACCTTGAAGCTCAGCACTCGAATCTGACCGGTCCGCTGACTGTCGTACACGTTGAGCAACCAGTTGATCGACAGATCCAGACATAGTGGTACATTCACCAGACTTGGATTTTCGCCGGCTATCATCTGTTGGGTAGAAATTGCACATTTATAATATTGGCTTAACTCAAAAATTACAAATTTTGGAAAGTCCACTTTATAACTGTGGTATAAAAGTCTAATTTCAAAAATTTAAACTAAATTACACCAGTACTGTACTAGATATGCGAAATGTCAAGGTGCTTATTTCGAAGAGATACACATTATTTAATACCTTCATGATAGTACTACATTCTACAACTATACAATGATGATTGGCTCATCCGTCATACTCGTGAACGTACCCGTGACGGATGCTTGTGGGTTTGTGAGGACAGGTCTGTTCGGGTTACGACCAGACCAGTTTACATTATTTCCTTTCGACAAAAATGTAATAGGATATGCTAGTGGTCACTAAATTCTTCACTATTGAAACAGTTCATTTAAAAAGAGAGCTGAGTTTCTTGTCAGTTCTTCTTAGCTCGATAGCTCGGAACTGACGGTAGATTTGACATATTATAAGAGTCTGTGATAGACCTACATGAATAAAGACAATTTAATTTAATTGACCTTCTGGACTAATATTTTAGATGGGGTAGTTAAAGTCATATTTCATATAGGGTATGGCCTACCCATGTATATCCTATTACTAAGGGGTGGTCAGGTCAGACCAGGTTAGGAGTGTCACGTATATGTTGCCGATCCTTAAGAAACCTTAATATACTGTTCTTTCACCCCATGCTATTTTCTCTAGACCAGCGTTTCCCAACCTTTTTCTTATGTCCCTCCTAACCCCCTTGAAATTAATAAAGAGTCCATTTTTGAATTGCCCCCTTAACAATCAAATTGCCCCCCAGTTGGGCGTTGGCTCTACGTTGGGAAACTGTTCCAGACACAACCTCGACATTCTACAATCTAAGTGTACGGGAGGAATCTCCTCTGAAACCGCACTGTCCGACCACTTAGGTTCTAGCGTGTAGGGATGAATTCCCTGTCGATGGGATGAATTCTCTGTCGATGGCCCTGTCGTTTTCTTACCTCATACAGAGATGTGAGGACGGTGATCATGTCCGGTATATCTATGAGGCGGTCGTTCTGCGCCCGCAGTCCATGTGAGTCGAACGCTTCAAGTGCAGACGGGAGTTGTAGCATGTGCACTGCAATAGACAATTTTATTACAGCTTCTTTGACGGTGATTGGACTATACGTTTTACTCTATTATCCGGTGCTTAGACGTACAGGTTTATGTAGGTGAGAGCACAATAGATCTATGTAGGTCGCAGTGCTAGCTTTGACGGCCAAAAGTTAGCGATAGAATAGAATAGAATAGAATAGAAAATCATTTATTCAAATAAACTTAATTTAAGCATTTTTGAATAGTCATAACAATTTGTTTTTTATCTACCACTCGTTCGGAAAGCTGTCACATCACAAGAAGAACGAGCAAGAAACTTGTGTGTTGCTGATAGAGGTCTAAAAGTGGCTTAGATACCGATTTTTTCTATTGAGAGTTTTGGGTTATTGTCATGTGCTCAAACCTGTAGCACTGCGAATTACATAGATCTATTGGAATCGCCCTTTTACCCGTCAGAGACAAGAATTGAAGGATATTCTTAGGAGCGATGGTTTTTATCTTTTCAGGATAGAGTATACTTTCCAAAGAAGATATTTCGTAGATGTATGACTGAGGTACAACCAATAGAATGTGTAGTTGCGTATCCTCTTCCATTTGGTAAAATTTGAAGATTTTTGTTGAGCACAGATCTAAGTTTGCCATGTGAATTCTAACTATTAAATAGCACAAATTCATTAGAGTTAAAATATTAAATATATAACAACTATTTGGCTGAGTAACTGTATAAATCAGTCGTAGCAATGATAATTAGTTGTTTGTTAAAAATGTTGCTTAGATTGGGACTAGATGGCGCTGTGTTATATGTATATAATTGAGAAATAGACAAGCACTTTTGAATAGTCATATTTTAATTCTGATTCATCACAAGAAGAATGAGCACGAAACTTGTGTGTAACTCTTTTGAATAAATGTTTTTTTATATAACCAATTACAGTATAACAAGTAAGAGGCATACGATAATCAACATAGAGGTCCCTACGCACTCTTTATTAGTGAAATCAGATAACATAGTCAGTGCTATGGATTTTAAGTTTTTTAATAAAAACATTATTATCGTTAACAAATTCTTCAATTTTATTGTAAGCTTTATTTTAGAGAATTTAAATCAATAGCACGTTATATACATACAGGATGTTTAAAATACAACTGTATTGTATTGTATTGTGTTTCATATTGTATTGATTTTTACGTTATATTCATACAGGATGTTAAAAATACAACTGTATTGTATTGTGTTTCATATTGTATTGATTATAAATAACGAATGTTTTAACATCCAACTTACTGCACAATTCCTTTTGTACGGTCCGTAACTTGAGCGCCGTCCTGTACGCCGAGAATCGAACCTCGTTCAGGTCGGCGAGGGAATTCATGAGATCGATCATTTTCGGATGGTCCCAGTGTGTCGTTTCAGATTCGTGGCTGCGGAAATAGAATGTATGTTTGTTTATGTTATTAATAAGGAAATGGGAAGAGAAATTGAAAGGTTTTCGTTTATTGATTTAATAATTTAATGAATTAGTGTATTATAGGCTAGTTTGAAAGACAAGAAGGCGGTATATTAATTACTAGCTGTGTCCGCGACTTCGTTTGCGTGGAATTGACGACGAATGACGATTTTCCAAACATAAGAGATTTTTTTTTAAATTATTTATACTTAATCAACAGCCTAAAAAAGAAACTTAAAGCTTCTGGCTGTAAAATTCACAATACTTCCATATAACCTTTCAACTACTTGTAACCGTTTTTTTCGCATTATATAGTTGCCTATGTCCTTTCTCAGGGTTTAAACTATCTGTGTACTAAATTTCATTTAAATCAGTATATTAGTTTTAGCATGAAAGCGACAGACAGACAGAGTTATCGAGCTACCGTAACCGTTACCATCAGATGGGCTGTATGCTTTTTAGCCATCATCGTAGTAAATAAAAAGTGTCACATAATCAAATCAAAATTCATTTATTCATGTAGGACATTTTAGCCGCTTATGAAATTAAGTTTTTTGTATAAGAATATATCTTTTCCCTACCGTCCAGTTACCAGATCCAAGTAAACTGGTGAGAAACGAAACTGAATTTCTTTTTTTTAAAGCCAGTTTATTTACATTGTATATTTATACTAACAGATCCGGCCACGCGTTGCTGTGGCTAAGGTTCTTGAATAAAATAATATTGCGACTATAAATTTAGATGTAAGCTATCCTATCTTTCAAGTTGGATCAAATTGCACACAATTTGTAAATCAAATTTGCAATCGATTCAGTAGTTTAGTAGTACATCGCGGACAAACAACGTGACATGTAATTTTTATATATAGAAATAGGTATTTATGTCTAACGTTAAATGAAAATCCCGTGCATGAACAACTATTGCCATGCACGCTCGTCATTCAAGTAGTCGCTTAGTGAGTAACAGGCTTTGCTTAATAAAATAAAGGAACTGACTTGATGTAGTAGGGTACGTTGGCAGGAGTGACTGCCCTCTCCCACGGGGCGTCAACGGAGCCAGCGAGGAAGCCCTGCGCGGCGCCGGCGCCGCCGTCCCGCGCCACGCCGGCCAACTGCCGCGCGCGCTCCTCGCCACCCGCGCACAGCGCCCCCACCCTAAAAATTTAATTAAGACATGTTCCTAACTCCTCTGATCGATCCCCCATCCAATTCAAATGGGGATCTAAATTAGGACGTCCTGAGTTCGAACACCTAGCGGACAACCCAAGACAGTAGGGGATGTACCATGTCAGGTTGACCTCCACGCGGTTTCCCCTTGAAACCGTCGTGATAAATTCATGGTGAATTTATCACGATTGGCTAACTGACCTGTTCATTTTATCATCCCCCACAGGCGTAGACCGTTATCGATGGCGGTTGCATCATTCCATTATCATCAACTAAAAAAAACCCAAGACTACTGTCAGGGAGGAAAGAGGATTGTTAGTAATGTGCACTGATGATCTTATTGCTAGCAATATGGTCAGGTTGATCAGGTTGACCTCTACGCGGTTCCTCTGGAAACCATCGTGATAAATTCTTGTTGAATTTGTCACGATGGGCTAATTGAGCTGACCTCATGCTCGTTTTATCATCCTCCACTGGTGCCCCAGACGCGTGGTCCGTAAGCGCAGGCGCATCATTCCATTATCATCCATAAGAACCATGTATGTAGAATTTGTTGCAAATATACAAACCTTGTATTTAAATCATCCAGTCTCGCCAGCAGATGCTCCGGCAGCTGTATCTTGTCCCTGGCAAGTGTTTGAGCTTGTTGGTGCAGTTCATCAGCTAGTCTCCTGAGGGGTGGAAGCTGCGCACGCGCACGCGACACCGCGTCGAGCTGCGCGCGCGCATCCCTGGCATCGCCGGGTCCTCGCCACGAGGAGCGAGCTGTTTCTGCAGCTTGCACGCGACTGGCCAGCTCCTCCAGAGATGTCGTGAAGGTGCGCACGCGCTGTAAAGAAATATTCTTTATTAGACTGGAAAAAACATCTGCAATTTTATTACATGACCGACCGACCCCAAATAAATGGGACCAAGGCCAATCAAAAAAAGAGTATTTTTTTTTTATTTTTACACTTTTTTGAACCAGTTACAGAAGATATTAATTAATATAAAAATATGTATAACAATGACGAGTATAAAAGGCAACCTTATCGCTAAACAATCTCTTACAGGCAACCTTTAGGTAGACAGTGAAAATATAAGAAAAAAAAGTAGGTGGTACAAATGACAACACAATTAAGAATACATGAATATATATATTGGTCAGTACGATTATATATTTGGAATGGGAAACAAGCATACGGCCAATCTGATGGTAAACGGTTACCGTAGCTTGTTAATACCACAATAAATTGTGTAATTATGATATCATTTTCAATATTTGCATACCTCTACGGGGTGCTACATGTCGTGTATTATATTGTAAGATCAAAATTACCATGCAAATAAATAAACTATTTTTTTTTTCCAAATATTCTCATCTATCCTCTTAAGGAGAGGAGATGGCAACATACCCTCGGCAGAAGCACAGTCGGCCAGGGTTCAGGGCCCCAGGGAGAGAAACCGGCGTACAATGCGGGCAGAATCTAAGAGCACCGCTTTCTGCGTCTTTTCCGGGAGTGAGCCGCCTCGGAATCCCAACCGTCTGAGATGTTGTTCCAGACTGGTTGGGATAAGACCGTTCACCGACATAATGATTGGAATGATTTCGGTGGACACCACCCCCCACATTTCGGTCACCTCGTGAGCCAGGTCGAGATATTTTCTCTTTTTCTCAGTTTCGGCTTTTACGAGATTCTCGTCATGCGGTATGGTGATGTCCACCAAAAATACCCTCGAAAGTGCCCGATCCATCACCACGATATCAGGTTTGTTCGCAAGAACGGTCCTGTCCGTGATGATGGATCGGTCCCAGTAGAGCTTGACGCTGTCGCTTTCGAGGACCGGCTGGGGCTCGTACTTGTAGTACGGCAACCTCTCATTCGCGAGACCGTACTTTAGAGCTAGTTCTTGATGACATATTTTGTTTTGTGTTTTTTTTTTATTTTTTTTTCTCGACTTTCGCCGGTTATCTTGGTATGTACGGGCCTAAGCCAAGTACATAACAATGTTCCATCTTATTATTATTATTATTACCGGAAACAACACAGGGCTGTCAAATACGCGTTGCCAATTCTTAAGAAACCTTATTATACACTGTTTTAAGAATCTTCAGTCCCAAGTCAAAATATGGTCAGGTAGTTTCTTTGAAACCGCTCTTGACCACTTAGATAGTGAATTCATCCTCACATACCACTGTATGTGAGGATGAATTCCCTGATGGCGAGAGGTGCGATGGTAGAAAGTAGCAGTCATCATGCCAATAAAGTCAAAAGAAATTCAGAGGTAATTCGAAACTAAACAAAATAACAGAATTATATCTAAAATTGGAAATTTGTACTTTGAATCATTACTGAACTGGTTTATATTCTTATCTACTTATTATCATTCTTATTTAATCTATACATCTATACATATAAATAAAATTGGTGTGTCTGTTTGTAATATTGAAATAACCGTTTTTTCTACATGCATATGAATATATGTACATACACCAAAATAACATTTTTAGTAATTTTTGTCTGTCTGTCTGGTTGTTCCGGCAAATCTCTGAAATGGCTGGACCAATTTGACGGGACTTTTATTGCCAGGTAGCTGATGTAATAAGCAGTAATTTAGGCTACTTTTGTATTAGACAAAATTCTTTCTTAGAAGCTCCTTTTTTTTTAACTAAATTATATTTTGTTAAAAAACTTGTTATACTGTAATTATTATATACAAAAAAACATCTATTCAAAAGAGCAACACACAAGTTTAATTTCATGTAGGAGTCAGCGATATGAAGTCTTAAAAAACTGAGTTTTAATAACAATCAAATATTTTAACCACAAATAAGCTTGTGCATATGAAAATAACATCAAAGTTAAATACACTGTGGGCCGTCAGACCTGAGGATTCAAAATTTAACGGTCCCAACTCCGGTTTAACTGGATTGTAGGACGTTAGTTGTGATAGCTAACCTTGCAAGGGCGGCCAGTTAACCTTGTCGTCCTGGATAAAGTTACGGACGTAACCGCAACCCCAGTTGAAAGTACGTTATTGGTTTATAACCTGCACGTTATTTAAATGAAGATATGTAGCCTGACTAGGGCCCTCATTGGACATTGCAAGCTGAGTAAAAAGCACATCGCGAAAATTAACTTAGGCTTAGCTTAACATCAATCTGCAGATTTTGCCAACAGAAGAGGACTTCATTACACATCCTAGATGATAGCACTCTCATGCATAAACGAATTACCCTTTGGAAAGTATACACTATATCCTGAGGAGATAAAAACCATCGCTCCTAAGAATATCCTTCAATTCTTGTACCTCACGGGTCTAGATAGCGAACTTTGAAAAGGGCTAGCGAAATAGATCTATACAGGTTGCAGTGTTACAGGTCATAGCACCAGACAATAGCCCAAACCCCCTAATAAAAAATAAAATTATTTAAATTAAATTCATCTACACTTTTTTTTTAAACTCGGTGACTTGACAGGCCCGATGAGAAGGGGATGGGAAGGGGATGGGAAGGGGATGGGAAAGGGATGGGAAAGGGATGGGAAGGGGATGGGAAGGGGATGGGAAGGGTAGGGTTAGTAATGTGGGCAAATACCCCATTGCCAGCAAATTCCATATCAGGTTGACCTTCACGCGGTTCCCATGGAAACCATCGTAATAAATTCATCGTGAATTTACCACGATGTGCTAACTAACCTGATTTCATGTTCATCTTATCATCCTCCACTGGTGCCCAGACAGAGTAAACCGCGCAGGCGGGTGCAAACATTGTATTTTTGATATATATCTAAATATATATAACTCAAAGGTGACTGACATAGTGATCTATCAACGCACAGCCCAAACCACTGGACGGATCTGGCTGAAATTTGGCATGCAGGTAGATGTTATGACGTAGGCATCCGCTAAGAAAGGATTTTGATAAATTTCGCCCCTAAGGGGATAAAATAGAGGATGAAAGTTTGTATACATCGTCTTAGATTTTCGACTGATTGAACTGAAATTAAAGATTGGAGCTACTATGTTGAATACGTTCGCTTAAATAGGATTTTGATAAATTCAACTCCCATGGGGATAAGATGCAGGATGTAAATGTATTAGTTTGAACCTATCAGTACCTAATGGAACGAATAAATTAAGACGAACAAAATAATTTTTAGTTCTTTAGGCTATTATTTTAGAATAATAAAGTTAAATTCCACGCGGACGTAGTCGCGGGAACCGCTAGTTTTTTTACATGTCACTTTTGACTAGTTATTGTTCTTCCTCGCTGGCAGACCTTTTGAAAATACACATTTTTTACTACTATTTGACTTTTAATTAAAATAGTAGTTGTGTTCCCACTCCAGTCACACTATGCAAATAATATTTATTGACAAATTTACTAACAACATTAGGTAAGTTCTGATTCTCTGCGCTACACCGACGATCCATCACAATGTGTTGTATGGGGAATATTAAACAATTTACATGGATGTCGCTTGGTTGTAGAATAGCCATACCGGTGTGGTTAACAATATAAAAAATTACAAAGACGGCTATTATAATATTGTTCAAGTGCTTATTTTATGTTTATTTGAACAAAAGTATTGTAACGGAGAACTGTACTAGGTTGGTTTAAAATGAAACACGTCCCTAGGTTAGGTAAAATATGTATATTCAGCTAGAAGAGCAAAAACCTTCTAGAATATGGCATTAGAAAAAAAGGGGTATATAAAAACAGAACGTCAAAATATATATAGGTATATAAAATAAAACTATCAAAAAAGTTGCTTTCGGCAAAATTCGATTTATTATTCATGCAGGACACTTTAGCCACTTATGAACGTGAATTTTTTTATATTATATTTTTTTCCCTACCGTATAGTGCAGTTACGCTTGTCGTCGGTGCTTGGTCGTCCAGGTACTTTAAATAATTTAGTAGTTTTTGCAAACAGACGATTTGAAACAAATTCATCTGTGTAATATATATTATAGAATAAGTAAGCAGACAGGGATTATCTTATACGTAAATTAAACATTGATACAGTAATCGAACCCGCGACCATCGCGATCACCGAGTACAAATAACAATAGTACAGCGTTATCGCAACATGGAAGCCTGATTACGGTCAATACCAAATCTAGAACAATAGCCATTAAGTAGGCAGATTGGAAATATTAACGTACTCTTATTTAGGGCACTGATAAATCGCGAGGAAACCTCAATTTGTTTTACTCCACTGTGGTATGGGTAAGGATACGGTTAGCCTGATAGGACAGTCCCTTCATCTATTATTGTAATAAATTTATTCTATTCTATTTTGTTCTATTAGTGTTATCTTCTTATATAAATCTAACACTATAATATTAATTTTATAATATATAATAATATTAATAATCTCAGGAGAATTCACACAGCGCCATCTAGACCCAAGTTAAGCTAGCTAAAGCTTGTGTTATGGGTGCTAGATAGCTAACATATACATAGATTTTTTTGTAAATACATACATATTATACATAGAAAACACCCAGATCGATACAAACAATCATACTCATGAATACAAATGTTTGTGTCGTGCGAGGAATCGAACCCGCGACCATTGGATGTAAAGCGGTGTGCTAGAGCGCTAGACCACCGAGGTCGTCAAACAGAAACAGAAAAAGAAAACATTTCTTTTTTATATGTCTATTTTTTATCTTTATTCTATTCTATTTTGTTCTATTAGTATTATCTTCTTATATAAATATATACACACTATAATATTCATTTTAATAAATAGAAATCTTTTGATTTTTGTATCTTTCTTTGTTATTTTTTAATGGCTTCAGTGGTTTAGGGATTTTAGCACACCGTGTTACGATAGT